TGACACAGGTAGTGGCCCAGCGGGTTCTGGGTGACGTTGTGGCACTCGCCGCACACCAGCTTCCCGTAGACCTTGGAGAACAGCGTGGGGGCAAAGACTCCTGCGGGGACAAAGGGACACGGGGTGGGCACCCAAAGCCCGGTGGGACCCCAGGAGGTGGGGACACACCCGTTTCCCCACTGACCTCCCACGGAGAGGAAGAGCAGGGCGGAGCTGACGCCGGCCGAGCGGCTGTTGAAGCGCTGCTCCTGGTGCCGGATGCCCCCGATGACCATGCACAGACCCTGGGGGACAGACCCCAAAAACCCCTCAGGGCACAGCTACACACCCGGGGGGAAGGGACACTCCAAAAGAGGGCCTGCCAATAAAAGTGAGGAAGGGGACCCATCCCAAAAGAGGGGGAAGGGGGACCCACCAATAAAAGTGAGAAAGGGACCCACCCCAAAAGAGGGAGAAGGGGGACCTACCCCAACAAAGTTGGGAAGGGACCCACCTATAAAAGTTGGGAAAGGGGGACCACCAGTAAAAGTGGGAAAGGGATCCACCCCTTAAACAAAAGCTGGGGAAAGGGACCCAGCAATAAAAGTTGAGAAAGAGGACCCACCTATAAAAGTGGGAAAGGGGGACCCACCAATAAAAGGGGGGAAAGGGGGACCCACCAATAAAAGGGGGGAAAGGGGGACCCACCAATAAAAGGGGAGAAAGGGGGACCCACCAATAAAAGGGGGAAAGGGACCCAGTCATAAAAGTTGGGAAAGGGAGACCCACCTATAAAAGTGGGAAAGGAACCCACCCCCCTTAAATAAAAGTTGGGGAAAGGGACCCACCAATAAAAGTTGGGAAAGACCCAGCAATAGAAGTGGGAAAGGGGTATCCACCCCCTTAAACAAAAGTTGGGGAAGGGGGACCCACCTATAAAAGGGGGAGAGGGGGACCCACCCCAATAAAAGGGGGGGAGGGGGACCTGCCAATAAAAGGGGAAAAGGGGGACCCCCACCAATAAAAGTTGGGAAAGGGGTATCCACCCCCTTAAACAAAAGTTGGGGAAGGGGGACCCACCTATAAAAGGGGGAGAGGGGGACCCACCCCAATAAAAGGGGGGGAGGGGGACCTGCCAATAAAAGGGGAAAAGGGGGACCCCCACCAATAAAAGTTGGGAAAGGGGTATCCACTCCCTTAAACAGAAGTTGGGGAAGGGGGGCCCACCTATAAAAGTTGGGGAAAGGGACCCACCAATAGGAGTTGGGAAAGGGGACCCACCCCAACAAAGCTGGGAAGGGACTCACCTATAAAAGTGGGAAAGGGGGACCCTCACCAATAAAAGTGGGGAAGGAGGACCACCAATAAAAGTGGGGAAAGGGGGACCCACCTATAAATGTCGGGAAAGGGGGACCCACCTATAAAAGTCGGGAAAGGGGGACCAGCCTATAAAAGTTGGGAAAAGGGGACCCCCGCCTATAAAAGTGGGAAAGGGGCACCCCTGCCTATAGAAGTGGGAAAGGGGGACCCACTTATAAAAGTGGGAAAGGGACTCACCCCCTTAAACAAAAGCTGGGGAAAGGGACCCAGCAATAAAAGTTGGGAAAGGGGACCCACCTATAAAAGTTGGGAAAGGGGGACTCACCTATAAAAGTTGGGAAAGGGGGACCCACCTATAAAAGTTGGGGAAGGGACCCATCCCCTTAAACAAAAGTTGGGGAAGGGGGACCCACCTATAAAAGGGGGAAAGGGAGACCCGCCTATAAAAGTTGGGAAAGGGGGACTCACCAATAAAAGTGGGGAAAGGGGACCCACCCCAACAAAGCTGGGAAGGGACCCGCCAATAAAAGTTGGGAAAGGGAGACCTGCCTATAAAAGTTGGGGAAGGGAGCCACCCCCTTAAAAAAAAGTTGGGGAAGGGGGACCCACCACTAAGAGGGGGAAAGGGAGCCACCCCAACAAAGGGGGAAGGGGGGACCCGCCCAAACTGGGAAGGGCCCTGGCAGGCTCAGAGCCCGAGCGCCGCCACAGGTCCCCAGTGCCCGTCTCACCGGCACGAAGAGCACGCAGCCCACCAGGGTGCCCGTCAGCGCCGACTTGACGACCTCGGCGTAGCAGGCGCTGCCCTCGCGGGAGCCCTTGAGCAGGGCGCTGATGTAGAAGGTGAGCTCGGTGACGGAGCCGAAGGTGGCGTTCACCACCGCGCCCACCGCGAACGTGCTCTGCGCTGAGATGCTGCGGGGAGGGAACGGAGCTGGGGACGGGCTGGAGAGATCCTGGGGGAGCTGGGGGGGCTCAGCCTGGAGAAAAGGGGGATCAGGGGGGACCTTCTGGCTCTGCAAGTCCCTGCCAGGAGGGGGGAGCCGGGGGGTGTTGGGCTCTGCTGCCAGGGAACAAGGGACAGGAGGAGAGGGAACGGCCCCAAGCTGTGCCAGGGGAGGGTCAGGCTGGACGGCAGGAGGAATTTCTTCATGAAAACGGGTTATTAAACATTGGCAGGGGCTGCCCAGGGAGGTTTGGAGTGCCCAGCCCTGGAGGTGTCCAAGGAAGGCCTGGCCGTGGCACTCAGTGCTCTGGGCTGGGGGACAAGGTGGTGTTTCTTGGGACTAAGGTTGGACTCTGATCTCAGAGGGCTTTTCCAGCCTGTGACTGAGTGACTGACCCTCCTCCCTGCTCCCAGTGAGGGCTGGGCCACAGGTTGCTCCAAGAGGCTCCATCCTGCAGCCAAAGGCCCTTTACCACCACCCCCAGGTATCTCCCTCTGGTTTTGTTGGATTCCTGGTGCCAAGTGAGAGCTGCAGAGACCCAAACCTCTGCCATGTGCACCCACAGCATGGATGGGGAACCTTGATTTGTAGCCTTCACCCCTGAGAGGTGCCAAATTCCTCAGAACCTTCAAAAACACGGATTTTGCTACATCGCTGCCCGGGGCAAACCCAAGCTTTACGTTGTTAGGAGGGGAAAACCAGGTGGAAATTTGAGATACAAACAGGAGACGGCATCGAGATCCCCCACAAAGCACACACAGAGCCCAGGAGGAGCCAACTGAGGGTGGAACAACCCTCAGAACAGCTGGGAAATGTGGGCAGATCCCATGGGATGTGCCAGTCCTACAGAACTGAGCGTCCCCGGCCGGTGTCCCCGGGCTGCCCCGGCTCACCTGGCGATGGCCATCCCGATGTAGTAGGACAGGGGCATGATGGAGAGCAGGGCCAGGGAGAACTTGAGGGTGGAGCTGCTCAGGTGGTTGTGGCTGTCCAGGTAGCCCAGCAGCAGCGTCACCACCACCAGCGGCAGCAGGTCTGGGGAGGGTGTCAAGGACACTACAGAGCAGGGTGGGTGGGGTTTGGGGTCAGCTCACCCCCCTTCCCCTCCATTCCCAGTCCATACCACCCCATCACCAGCAGGTCTGGGGGGGCCAGTCAAGGAGACAATCAAGGTGGGGTGGGATTTGGGGTCATCTCCCCCTTCCCCACCATTTCCAGTCCATCCCACCCCATCACCAGCAGGTCTGGGGGGGTGTCAAGGACACTATGGAGCAGGGTGGGTGGGGTTTGGAGTCAGCTCCCCCCCCTTCCCCTCTATCCCCCCCAACACTAGCAGGTCTGGGGGGGCTGGTCAAGGAGGTGCCTGAGGTGGGGTGGGATTTGGGGTCATCTCCCCCTTCCCCACTATTCCCAGTCCATCCCACTCCATCACCAGCAGCAGGTCTGGGGGGCTGGTCAAGGAGGTGCCCAAGGTGGGGTGGGATTTGGGGTCACCCCCCCATCCCCACTCCCACTCTGTTCCACCCCATCACCACTAGGTCTAGGGGGGCCAGTCAAGGAGATGCCCAAGGTGGGGTGGGATTTGGGGTCATCTCCCCTTCCCCCACCATTCCCAGTCCATTCCCATCACCAGCAGCAGGCCTGGGGGACCCATCAAGGAGATGCTCAAGGTGGGGTGGGATTTGGGGTCATCTCCCCTTTCCCCACCATTCCCAGTCCATCCCGCCCCATCACCAGCAGGTCTGGGGGTCGGTCCCGGAGCCGGCCGAGGTTTGGTGGGATGTGGGGTGGGATTTGGGGTCCCGTGCCCAGCGCTGCCCCGGGATACTGACGGCGAAGACGTTGAGGCCGTGCACGGAGTACTTGTAGTAGTAGGGGTTGGCGGCGCGGTAGCAGCACAGGATCACCTCCCCCTCCAGCGGCACCTCCGTCTGGGGGGGCACACAGTTGGTGACCCCGCTGCTGCTGCCACCCCCAGCCCCCCAAAAACCCCCCCTCCTGGAGCCTCACCATCCTGCCCCTGCGGACGCGGACGCGCTCGGGGGGCAGCAGCAGGACGCGGGTGGCACTGCGGGCGCTCAGCTTGGCCACGGGGATGGTGACGATGAGCAGCCAGGAGGTGACACAGACCAGGCCGTGGGACAGGGCCAGCACCGGGTACCCCAGGCACAGCCAGGCCGCGGTGCCCACACGGCGCTGGAACAGGAGGAACCGTCAGGGTTGGCCCCACAAGTGCCCACCCCGGGGAGAGGAGGTGCCCTCGGGGGCTCTCCCCACCCCAGGGGTGCCAGTGCCCAGTGTGGGGTGTCACCGTGCCCGGTGTGGGGCTCACCCAGTATTCGGTGCCCTCCCAGCACCGCAGGCGCCAGCGGCCTGGGGTGGGACCCCCCAGCAGGGCCGAGCTCTCCCCCGTACCAGCCTCCTGGGATTTGGGCACCTGGGGGACACAGGGGGGTGTCAGGGCGTGGCACAGCACACCCCACCCACCCCCCCGGGATTCGGGATGAGCCCTCACCTCCACCTTCTGGATCACTTTGCCGAAGGGCCACAGGAAATATCCGGCCAGGTCCCAGCAGAGCCGCCCTGGGGGGACACCAGGGACACTCGTGTCCCCTCCAGCTCCAGGGAGAAGGGACACAGGAGGTCCCCACGCTGTTGTGAGCTCGGCCAGGACACCCACGGCTCCCCCAGCCCTTCCCAGATTCGGGTCTCACCGTGAGGAGCCCCCACGACGGTGAGGAACATGCCGGCGGCCACCAGGCCGTGCAGCAGCGAGAGCCACCAGCCGAAGAGCAGCAGGTACAGGACGTTCCCACACGTCACTGTGGACCCTGCGGGGACAGGGGGGCACAGCTGGGACCCACTGGCACCTGCAGCCCCCCCAAACCCACGGGGCTGCCCCCCTGCCCTCACCTGCAGGGCCCCGGAGCGCGGTGAGGTCGGAGTAGAGCTCCTTGACGATGTCGGAGCGCTCCTCCCAGGGCCGCGCCGTCACGTGGCTCTTCCACTTCTTGAAGCCAAACTGCGGAGACGAGGGGGGGTTTTTTGGGGTGGGTGGAGAAGAAGCCAGCCCGTCACACCCCCCGGGAGAACCCCTGGCCCCCACAGGCACCCACCTTGTAGTTGTTGGAGAGCTTGTTGGCCTCCACGGCGTTCTCGGCCGTCAGGGTGGTCCTGGTGCAGCTCTCACACTCCTCGGGCGTGGCTGGGGGGCACACGGGGGTCACGGGGGGCACACGGGGGTCAGGGACCCCCAGCACCCCCTGTCCCACCTACCCATGGGGCCGCGGGGCCGGTGCAGGTGACAGCCCAGGTCGCCCAGGTCGTTGTTGATGGTGGTGGAGCAGTGCCGGTCGCACAGGGAGCCCCGCCGGGAATCCGTGGCCTTGGGAATGTCTGTGGGAGAGGTTGGAATAATCACATCCAGCCCCATGTCCTGCCCGGGCTCGGCACCCCAGGACAAGCAGGTGCTGCTGTGTGGGGGGTGACACCCCGGTCCCCAAACCCCACGGGGGACAAGGACACAGTTCCCAGGGTGGGAACCAAGGGATGTTGGGGAGGGGGGACCCCACCCGTGCCTGGGAAATGGTGGTGGGGGGTAAATCCCACTCAGTGCCTGGTGTGAGGGTTGGGAGGGTGGATCCCACAGTGCCCGGAGTGAGGCTGGGGAGGGGAGACCCCACAGGTGCCCGGGAAAAGGGAGGGAAATCCCACTCAGTGCCCAGAGTGATACTTGGAAGGGGGGGAGAGAAATCCCAATCCCACTCGTTGCCCGGAGTGAGGGTTGGGAAGAGGGACTTGGCAGTGCCCAGGAAAGGAGGGACCCCCTCTGGTGCCCGGAGTGATGCTGGGGAGGGGAGACCCCACAGGTGCCCGGGAAAAGGGGAGGGAAATCCCACTGGGTGCCCGGAGTGAGGCTGGGGAAGGGGGCACCCATCAGGGCCCAGGAAGGGGGGACCCCACAGTGCCCGGAGTGATGCCCGGGAGTGGAGACCCCACAGGTGCCCAGGAAAAGGGGGGAAATCCCACTCGGTGCCTGGAGTGATACTCGAGAGGGGGAACCCCACAGGTGCCCAGGACATGGCAGGGGAGAAAAATCCCAATCCCACTCAGTGCCCAGTGTGAGGGTTGGGAAGGGGGGGACCCTCTCAGATCCCCAAGAAGGGGCCCGTCCCCCTCTGGTGCCTGGAGTGATGCTGGGGATGGGGGACCCCACAGGTGGACGGGAAGCGGGGAGGAAATCCTACTAGGTGCCTGGAGTGAGGGTTGGGAAGGGGGGGACCCTCTCAGATCCCCAAGAAGGGGCCCGACCCCCTCTGGTGCCCGAGTGCTGCTCGGGAGGGGGGACCCAGGAAGGGAGGCCCCCCCGGAGCCCCCCGCGCTCACCGGGCGGGTCCTGCCCGCAGCAGCAGCGGCAGCAGCGGCGACGCCGGGTGGGCTCGGCCTCGCTGGCCATGGTGGTCCCGGCGGAGGGGGCGATCCCGCAGCCCCCCGGAATTTCACGGGCGGGGCCGGACGTGCGCGACCCCGGCGCGGGGAAACGCCCCCGCAACGGGAGGGGCGGGAAACGCCCCCGCACCCCCAGAGGGGCCGGGCCGGGGCCGCCCCCGCAGCGCGGGATGGGCCGGGAGGGAGCGGCGGGAACGGGGGGGACACGGGGAGAGGGATGCGCGGGGATTTGGGGTGCGCGGGGATTGGGGTGCGCGGTGGGGGATGATGGGATTTGGGGTACATTGGGTGCGCGGGGAGTGGGGTGCGCGGGGATTTGGGGTGCGCGGGGGATTTTGGGTGCGCGGGATTGGGTGGCGCCGGGGATGGGGGTGCGCGGGGATTGGGGTGCGCGGGGATTGGGGTGCGCGGGGATTGGGGTGCGCGGGGATCTGGGGTGCACAGGGATAGGGATGAGCAGAGATAGGGGTGCGCGGGGATTTGGGGTGCACAGGGATAGGGATGCGCAGGGATTGGGGTGCACAAGGATTGGGGTGTGCAGGGATAGGGATGAGCAGAGATAAGGATGCGCGGGGATTTGGGGTGCACAGGGATTGGGGTGCGCGGGGATTGGGGTGCGCGGGGACTGGGATGCGCGGAGATTTGGGGTGCACAGGGATAGGGATGCGCAGGGATTGGGGTGCACAGGGATTGGAGTGCGCAGGTGTTGGGGTGCACAGGGATTGGGGTGCTCAGGTGTTGGGGTGCGCAGGGATTGGGGTGCTCAGGGGTTGGGGTGCGCAGGGATTGGGATACGCAGGGATTTGGATGCTCAGGAATTGGGGTGCGTGGGGATTTGGGGTGCGCGGGGGGCACCGGGACTGGGGTGTGCCATGTATTGGGGTGCAGAGTGTATTGGGGGGGCACTGGGACTGGGGTGTGATGTATTGGGGTGCACCATGTATCGGGGGCACCAGGACTGGGGTGTGCCATGTATGGGGGTGCACAGGGATGGGTGTGCTGTGTATTGGGTTGTACACTGGGATGTGTAAGGTATTGGGGTGCAGAGTGTATTGAGGTGCACTGGGATGGGTGTGATGTATTGGGGTGCACAGGGATGGGTGTGTGATGTATTGGGGTGCACAGGGATTGGTGTGTGCTGTATGGGGCTGCACAAGGATGGGTGTGCTGTGTATTGGGTTGTACACTGGGATGTGTAAGGTATTGGGGTGCACAGGGCTGGGTGTGATGTATTGGGGTGCACAGTGCACTGGGGTGCACAGTGTATTGGGGTCTATCATGTATTGGGGCGCACAGTGTATTGGGGTGCACCAGGATGGGTGTGATGTCTTGGGGTGCACAGGGACTGGGGTATGAGGTATTGGGGTGCACAGGGCTGGGTGTGAGGTATTGAGGTGCCCAGTGTATTGGGGTACCCACTGTACTGAGGTCTATCATGTCTGGGGGTACACAGAGAATTGGGGTGCCCAGTGTATTGGGGTGCCCGGTGTACTGGGGTCTCTCATGTATTGGGGTGCAGTGTATGGGGTGTGATGTGTTGGGTTGCCCAGTGTATTGGGATGCCCAGTGTACTGGGGTCTGTCCTGTCTGGGGGTACACAGAGAATTGGGGTGCCCAGTGTATTGGGATGCCCAGTGTACTGGGGTCTGTCCTGTCTGGGGGTACACAGAGAATTGGGGTGCCCAGTGTATTGGGGTGCCCAGTGTATTGGGGTCTATCCTGTCTGGGGGTACACAGAGTATTGGGGTGCCCAAGGATCTGGGCTCCTGGGAAGAGGCTGCACAGGGGGCTGGGGGTGCTGGGGACCCCAAAACTGTGCAGGTGCTGTGTGTGCAGAGCCCTGGGCCCTGAGGGAGCCCCGTGGGACGGGCTCTTCGGGAGAAAAACCCTTTTTTGGCACAAGAAGAGGATTTCGAGGGTTTCTGCACTTTGGGTCTTCAAACACGAGAGAAATGCGGCTCAGGGGGGGAGTTTTGGGGTAAAACTGGCAAAACCTGGGCCTGGAACGTCCCCCCCTTGGCCCAGGGATGGGTTTGGTGATGCTGAACCCAAGAAAAAACCCTAAAAAGCTTTTGATAAAACGAACTCATTTAATTCAGGAACCAAACGAGCCACTTTGGTCCCATTCCTCGGAAAAACCCGGGTCCCCCAGAGGAGAGGGAGAGTCACCAAAACCCGTCAGTTCACACCAAAAAAACAGCACAAAGTTCCACAAGTCCCTCTTTTCCCACCTCCATGAAAAATAAACTCCAGGGATCCCACGGATTCGTGGTCCTACGTTCGCTCCCAAAATTCACCTTTGCCAGGATTTACACCAGCAGGAATAACTGAAGTGGGAATTTGGCAAAAAGACATCAACTGAGCCCCTTTTTGGAAACAAATCCAAGTGGGTTTTTCCCCCCCAAAAAAAAGTTTGGTTTCCCAGCACCAAGGTGCTGCAGCCACATCCCAGTCCCTAAAAAAAAAAGAGGTAATTAATGAACAAAAGGGGAGGAGCAGAATTAAATCCCAAGGCACCCGGGAGGCCGAGCTGGTTTGGAACTGAACGATTAACTAAAAACAAACAAACAAAAAGAAAATAAAACTTCCGAATATAAGTAAAAAAACTGGGATTTGGTGAACCCAGCGAGTCCAAAGGGTTTCTCTTCCATTTCCAGCAACACCTTGTGGGGTCAGAGACACGATTACACTGATAACCAGGAGCCAAAGTTGTGGGGTTTTTATAATAAAACGAAGCAAAGCCAAGTCTAAACCCCCCTGGTTTGGATTTCCTCGTGTCCAGCTGGGATTTTTTGGATCCTGGAGTGCCCCAGATTGTTGGATCCTTGGCTGTGCACGACCCTCACAGGTTTAGTCTGGATCAGTTAAGCTCAGTTTAAGCTGGGCTGTTGAGGTGAGGAGCGGGAAGGAGAATCCTAATCCTGCCTGGAGCTCGTTCCCAGGTGAAATATTCCATGGGATGCCTCGGGAAGAAATCCACGCAGGAATTCCAGACAATTCCCCGCTCTGTGCACTAAGCTGAGCTTAAATGATCCGGGTTTAACCCAAAACCGTGGATGTCTCGGAGCAGGGATGGGTCACTCCCCGAAGATCCACAGGATGTTGACTCCCGACAATCCCAGATTGACACGCCTGGAAAACCCAGAGGGGTGGGAATTACCCCACGGGGCTCTTTAATGGTTTAAACCCCACTAATCAGCTGATTTAAACCCCACTAATAATCTGATTTAAACCCCATTAATCAGCTGATTTAAACCCCATTAATCAGCTGATTTAAACCCCATTAATAATCTGATTTAAACCCCACTAATCAGCTGATTTAAACCCCATTAATCATCTGATTTAAACCCCATTAATAATCTGATTTAAACCCCATTAATAATCTGATTTAAACCCCATTAATCATCTGATTTAAACCCCATTAATAATCTGATTTAAACCCCACTAATCAGCTGATTTAAGACCCATTAATAATCTGATTTAAACCTCATTAATAATCTGATTTAAACCCCACTAATCAGCTGATTTAAACCCCATTAATAATCTGATTTAAACCCCATTAATAATCTGATTTAAACCCCACTAATCAGCTGATTTAAACCCCATTAATAATCTGATTTAAACCCCACTAATCAGCTGATTTAAACCCCATTAATAATCTGATTTAAACCCCATTAATAATCTGATTTAAACCCCATTAATCAGCTGATTTAAACCCCACTAATCAGCTGATTTAAACCCCATTAATAATCTGATTTAAACCCCACTAATCAGCTGATTTAAACCCCATTAATAATCTGATTTAAGCCCCATTAATAATCTGATTTAAGCCCCATTAATAATCTGATTTAAACCCCACTAATCAGCTGATTTAAACCCCATTAATAATCTGATTTAAACCCCGTTAATAATCTGATTTAAGCCCCATTAATAATCTGATTTAAACCCCATTAATAATCTGATTTAAACCCCATTAATAATCTGATTTAAGCCCCATTAATAATCTGATTTAAACCCCATTAATAATCTGATTTAAGCCCCATTAATCAGCTGATTTAAACCCCATTAATCATCTGATTTAAACCCCATTAATAATCTGATTTAAACCCCATTAATAATCTGATTTAAACCCCATTAATAATCTGATTTAAGCCCCATTAATCAGCTGATTTAAACCCCATTAATAATCTGATTTAAGCCCCATTAATAATCTGATTTAAGCCCCATTAATCACCGCCCCCCAACGCGATTTCCCACTTTTTCCCCAGTCCCATCCCACCTTTTCTCCGGGACCTACCCCAGCATCCCGGATTCCTTGGTCTTGATGATGTACAGGAACATGAGCAGGGTGTGGAACATGTTATTCCTGCCCTGGATCCCCCGGGAAAGAGAAGGAATTAAAGACACGGAATTAAAAGGTGGAATTTTGCCGGCTCGGAGCTTCCCCCCGGGAATTCTCGTGGGAAAAACGCCGGGTTTGGGGGCATTAAGGGGTGACAACAGATCAGGGATTGGGGGATTCGGGTTAAAAAAATTTAAATTATATTTAAATTTAAATTTAATTTACAATAAATTGGCAGAAAAATCAGGGATTGGGGGATTTGGGTTAAAAAAATTCTAAATTACGTTTAAAATTTAAATTTCATTTACAATAAATTGGCAGAAAAGCAACAAATCAGGGATTGGGGGACTTGGGTTAAAAAATTCTAAACTACCTTTAAATGTAAATTTAATTTATAATAAATTGGCAGAAAACCAACAAATCAAGGATTGTGGGATTTGGGTTAAAAAATTCTAAATTACATTTAAAATTTAAATTTAATTTACAATAAATTGGCAGAAAACCAACAAATCAGGGATTGGGGGACTTGGGTTAAAAAGTTCTAAATTACATTTAAATTTAAATTTAATTTATAATAAATTGGGAGAAAAGCAACAAATCAGGGATTGGGGGACTTGGGTTAAAAAAAAATGGTAATTTTGCAATAAATTGGAAGAAAACCAAAAGTACATCAGGGACTGGGGATTTGGGTTAAAAAGTTCTAAATTACATTTAAATTTAATTTACGATAAATTGGCAGAAAACCAACAGCACATCAGGGATTGTGGCATTTGAGTTAAAAAATTCTGAATTACATTTAAATTTAAAATTAATTTAAAATGAATTGGCAGAAAAGCAACAAATCAGGGATTGGGGCATTTGGTGTTAAAAAATTCTGAATTACACTTAAAGTTAAAATTAATTTAAAATGAACTGGCAGAAAAACAACAAATCAGGGATTGGGGGACTTGGGTTAAAAAATTCTAAATTACATTTAAAATTTAAATTTAATTTACAATACATTGGCAGAAAAGCAACAAATCAGGGATTGGGGGACTTGGGTTAAAAAAAAATGGTAATTTTGCAATAAATTGGAAGAAAACCAAAAGTACATCAGGGACTGGGGAATACAAGTTAAAAAATTCTGAATTATATTTAAATTTAATTTATGATAAATTGGCAGAAAAGCAACAAATCGGGGATTGGGGCATTTGAGTTAAAAAATTCTGAATTATATTTAAATTTAATTTACAATTAATTGGCAGAAAACCAACAGCACATCAGGGATTGTGGCACTTGAGTTAAAAAATTCTGAATTACATTTAAATTTAAAATTAATTTAAAATGAATTGGCAGAAAAGCAACAAATCAGGGATTGGGGGACTTGGGTTAAAAAAAATGGTAATTTTGTAATAAATTGGAAGAAAACCAAAAGTACATCAGGGACTGGGGAACACAAGTTAAAAAATTCTGAATTATATTTAAATTTAATTTACAATACATTGGCAGAAAAGCAACAAATCAGGGATTGGGGCATTTGGTGTTAAAAAATTCTGAATTACATTTAAATTTAAATTTTATTTATAATAAATTGGCAGAAAACCAACAAATCAGGGATTGGGGGACTTGGGTTAAAAAATTCTAAATTACATTTAAAATTTAAATTTAATTTACGATAAATTGGGAGAAAAGCAACAAATCAGGGATTGGGGGACTTGGGTTAAAAAAAATGGTAATTTTGCAATAAATTGGCAGAAAACCAACAGCACAACAGGGACTGGGGGGGGATCTGGTGGTTAAAAAATTCCAACTTTAACTACAAATAGGCAAAAAAAGCCCAGAGGAGGAAGCCACTCTTAGTCTGCACCTGAACAGATCCCAGAGCCGGGATTAGGCAGGAGGCTTAAACCCCACGCTGGGCTTAGAGCAGGCTGGGCCAGGCTGAGGTGAAGAGTCCAGAAATGGGTTTAGGAGTTCAAACAGCCCGAAGTGGAGGTGGAGAGGATTCCTGGGGGCGGGAGAATCCCATCCCATCCCATCGACTCCATACCTTGGGCAGGCTGTAGACGTGGCACTCGTAGATGAGCTCGTAGTGGGGCGGGTTGATGCTGCTCTGGTAGATGCAGAACAGGTTCTCGTTGGAAGTGTCTGGGAATGACAGTGGGAATGTCAAAGAGGTTCTGGTGTGACCCCAGAGGGATAAGAGAGAGGCTTTCCCCCTCAGGTACCTGGTTTATCCGGGCTCTGGATGAAGTGCTGGGAAGTGAAGGTTTTGCCGTCGGGGTACTTGGGGTGAGGAGGGAGCCTGGAGTCCAGGTAGGTGCAGAACACGTGCATCAGGATCTGGGGAAAGGACCCAAAGCTCGCTGGGACGGCCCCAAAAAGGGAGGGAAGCAGCCCTGCCACCACCCCAGGAGCCGAGCACAGGGGGGATAGGCCGGGCTTGCAACCCTGGCTTAACCCCGGGGCTTAGGAGCAGCCTCGGGCCTAAAGGGCCGAGTTCTGAGTTTGGCTGAGCAGGGGAGGAACCCAAAACCCAACTCTGCCCACACCAAACTCTGGCCCCATTCCCAGGGGGAATTCCCTGTGTTTTTTCCCTTTATTTTTCCCCATTTTCCCTGTTTTTTCCCCCATTTTTCCATGTTTTTCCCTCAGAAGTAGGACTGGATCAAAGCCCTGACTGGGCAGGTGGAGCAGATCCCCCGTGCTGAGGGGGTCCCGTGGATCCCTGATCCCATTCCCAGGGATCCCACTGTGTTCCCAGGGAGCCCCTTTTACCATTTTCCCTGTCTTTTTTCCCCACAATCAGGTTGGCATCAAGGCCCTGAAGTGGTACCGTTTTTCCCCCATTTTTCCATGTTTTTACCTCAGAAGCAGGACCAGATCAAGGTCCTGATTTGGCAGGTGGAGCAGATCCCCTGTGCTGAGGGGTCCCATGGATCCCTGACCCCATTCCCAGGGATCCCCCTGTGTTCCCAGGGAGCTCCTTTTCCCATTTTCCCTGTTTTTTTCCCCCCCACAATCAGGTCAGGATCGAGGCCCTGAAGCAGCCCAAGTTCCATGTCTGGGGATGAATCCTGGAGGAGGATCCCAGTTTCCCCTGCTTCCCGCTGCCACATTCCCAGGGCTCCCTGACACTGTTTTTCTCCAATTTTTCCCTGTTTTTCCCTCAGAAACAGGACTGGATCAAGGCCCTGACTGGGCAGGTGGAGTGAATCCCCCGTGCTGAGGGGTCCCGTGGATCCCTGACCCCATTCCCAGGGATCCCCCTGCGTTCCCAGGGAGCACTTTTTCCCATTTCCCCTGTTTTTCCCCCCACAATCAGGTTGGGATCAAGGCCCTGAAGCTGCCCCGGTGTCACATCCATGTGCTGGGGATGAATCCTGAAGGAGGATCCCAGCTTCCTGGGCTTCCAGCTGCCACATTCCCAGGGCTCCCTGACCCTATTTTTTCCCTGTTTTTCCCTCAGAAGCAGGACTGGATCAAGGCCCTGACTGGGCAGGTGGAGCGGCACCGCTTCCACACCCCAGTGCTTATGGGTCCCATGGATCCCTGACCCCATTCCCAGGGAGCCTGGGATCCCTGACCCCATTCCCAGGGATCCCCCTGCATTCCCAGGGAGCCCCTTTTCCCATTTTCCCATTTCCCCCCCCCCCACAATCAAGTCGGGATCGAGGCCCTGAAGCAGCACCGGTTCCATGTCTGGAAGCTGGGGATGAACCCTCAAGGATCCCAGGGCAGGGTCCCAGTTCCCCTGACATTCCCAGGGCTCCCTGACCCCATTTTTCCCCACTTTCCCTCCTTCAGAGCTCATCCCATCAGTTCCTCTGCCGTTCCCACTTCACCACATTCCCCAAAGCCTCCCTGGCTGCCCCCTCCAAAGCCTCTCCCAAAAAACAAGCAGCTCCAATCCCCCCCTGTCCCGGTGTGTGTGGGATCTCACCGAGGAGTCCGTGGGCAGGTCCGTGTCCCACTTGCGTCCCTTGAAGTCTCCTCCTCCGTTCCATCGGAAGGAGCTCATGCAGCCGCCCTGGGAAAGCTCTGGAAGCAACATTTGGGCGGTTTTTTTGGGATTCAAGGCGGATAAAAGCAGGTCTCAGGCCGGTTTGAAAGGTTTAGGGCACGTTTCTGGTGCATAAATAGGGATAGTTCAACCCATGGAAAGGCTGGGAGGGGATTGGGGCAGGGAGGGAAAATTACAGGGTGGGTTTTAGCTGTGAGGGGGTTTAATCCAGGATTTTTTAATCCAGGATTTTTTAATCTAGCACTTTTTAGTCCAGCATTTTTTAATCCAGGATTTTTTAGTCCAGCACTTTTTAATCCAGGATTTTTTAGTCCAGCACTTTTTAGTCCAGGACTTTTTAGTCCAGGACTTGACATCCTGAGCATGGAGGAAATCATGGAATCATGGAATGACCTGGGTTGGAAGGGGCCTTAAAGATCACCCAGTTCCAACCCCCTGCCATGGGCATTTCCACTGAGTGGGACTTTCCAAGAGCTGGGTGTGGAAGTGTTTGGGATGAGGACAGCACGTCCCTCTGAGCCTTTCCACCAGGGATTCCTGGTTTGGGGGGAGATCCAGGCTGGAAGTGTTTGGGATGAGGACAGTATGTCCCTCTGAGCCTTTCCACCAGGGATTCCTGGTTTGGGATGAGGCCACCACATCCCTCTGAGCCTTTAAAGCCACCAGGGATTCCTGGTTTGGGGGGAAATCCAGGCTGGAAGTGTTTGGGATGAGGACACCACATCCCATCCTTTAAAGTCACCAGGGATTCCTGGTCTGGGGGGAGATCCAGGCTGGAATTTTTGGGGATGAGGACAGCACGTCCCTCTGATCATTTCCACCAGGTATTCCTGGTTTGGGATGAGGCCACCACATCCCTCTGAGCCTTTAAAGCCACCGGGAATTCCTGATCTGGGGGGAAGATCCAGGCTGGAAGTGTTTGGGATGAGCTCCAGGCTGGAAGTGTTTGGGATGAGGACAGTACGTCCCTCTGAGCCTTTAAAGCCACCAGGGATTCCTGGTTTGGGATGAGGACACCACGTCCCTCTGAGCCTTTCCACCAGATATTCCTGATCTGGAGGAAGATCCAGGCTGGAAGTGGATCCACTTCCAAGATCTGGAAGTGCTTGGGATGAGGACAGCACGTCCCTCTGAGCCTTTAAAGCCACCAGGGATTCCTGGTCTGGGGGGAGATCCAGGCTGGAAGTGTTTGGGATGAGGACAGCATGTCCTTCTGAGCCTTTCCACCAGGGATTCCTGGTTTGGGATGAGGCCACCACATCCCTCTGAGCCTTTAAAGCCACCGGGAATTCCTGATCTGGGGGAAGATCCAGGCTGGAAGTGTTTGGGATGAGCTCCAGGCTGGAAGTGTTTGGGATGAGGACACCATGTCCCTCTGAGCCTTTCCACCAGGGATTCCTGATCTGGAGGAAGATCCAGGCTGGAAGTGGATCCACTTCCAAGATCTGGAAGTGCTTGGGATGAGGCCAGCACGTCCCTCTGAGCCTTTAAAGCCACCGGGAATTCCTGATCTGGGGGGAGATCCAGGCTGGAATTTTTTGGGATGAGGCCAGCACATACCTCTGATCCTTTCCACCAGGTATTCCTGGTTTGGGGTGAGATCCAGGTACTGCACCAGGGCGTTGAGGGTGGGGATGAGAGGAGCTTTCACCAGGGCTGCCTGCTTCAGGCTGCTGATGCTGGCCTCTGGAATACAGGGACACCGGGATCACCAGGGAGCTCCTGGAATGTCCTGGGATCACACACCACCCTCCCACACCTATTTAGTCCCAACCAAGTCTCCTCTCCGTCAGGATTTAAAAGCTGCAAGGAAGCAACGGGAATTAGGAGCAGAAAAGAGGGAATGAGAGCGGCGTCCTGGTTTTCCAGAGATGAAGCTCCGTAAGGAACACCCCAAAAAATGGGAATTTCATGGGAATTGCACCACATCAAATGCAGCTCTTGGCTAAGGAGGTGCAAATTTGAAGGAACAGAAGCAGCTCCTTCAAGCTGTGGCTTCAAAACCAAAACTCCATCGGGATTTAAAAATACAGATTTTTGGGAAAGCAGCGGATTGGGAGGAATAATTTGGAAAAGGACACAGGAGTGGAGACAGGGAGGCTTCAAAGGGACACACTGAGGGTTTGCAGCACATTTCCCTTTGAAATGCCTTCTGACATTACCAGGCAGTAATTGATGATCATTGGAGTAAACTTATTATATTTATAATTGTATTCTAGTTTCTGTATTTCATATATTTAGATTTGAAATATATTTCTATATTTCATACATTTAGATATGAAATGCATTTCTATATTTACTACATTTAAATATGAAATGCTTTTAGATATTTCATATATTTAGATATGAAATGCATTTCTATATTTAATATATTTGTATATGAAATACATTTCTATATTTTATATATTTAGATATGAAATGCATTTCGATATTTCATATATTTAGACATCAAATACATTTCTATATTTACTATATTTAAATATGAAATGCTTTTAGATATTTCATATATTTAGATATTAAATGCATTTCAATATTTCATATATTTCTATATTTCATACTTTCTATATTTCATATATTTAGATATGAAATGCATTTCTATATTTACTACATTTAAATATGAAATGCTTTTAGATATTTCATATAATTACATATGAGATGCATCTATATATTTCATGTAATTACATATGAAATACATCTATTTCATGTATTTATATGTTCATATCTTTATAAATGAAACACATTTATATATTAAATATATGTATATATTTCATGCATTTCTATATTTCATACATGTATATATTTAATACATTTATATTTTCATACATGTATATATTTAATACATTTATATTTTCATACATGTATATATTTAATACATTTATATTTTCATACATGTATATATTTCATACATGTATATATTTAATACATGTATATATTTCATACATTTATATATTTAATAAATGTATATATTTCATACATGTATATATTTCATGCATTTATATATTTCATAAATGTATGTATTTAATAAATGTATATATTTCATACATGTATATATTTCATACATGTATATATTTAATACATGTATATATTTCATACATTTATATATAAATTTATAACATCATATAAAAATAATTAAGTAAATTTAGAGGGATAAAAAAGAAAAGGGAAAAAAAAAAAAACCACCAACAAAAAAAGAGACATTTCTGACTTTTCCCCAAGTGTCTGTGTGCCAGCCCCAGCATTCCCAGAAGCCTTATGAGGAACCTTTCCAGGAGATGGAACGAAGGCCACACCAAAATAAGAGCAGAAAAGGGGACAAAAGTGATTAATTTAAGTGAAGTACCACCCGCTCAACATTCCATGAATTCCAGCCCCGGGAATTCCCACCTCCGATCTGCAGCTCGGGGCAGCCCATCCTCCTCAGCTGGGTGCTCACCGACTCCATCTCCTCCACCAGGGGCACCAGGATGGTGTCGTTGATCCACTGGGGGACAAACACAAACCCAGAGTCACTTGATTTCCAGTTAGAATCTATGATCAGGACGGGATCTACATCCGATACCGCACTGATGGAGGCCTTTTCAACCTGAAAGTCCACACCAAGACCTTCAACCATCTTGTCCGGGAGCTGCTTTATGCTGGTGACGCCGCCCTTGTTGCCCACACAGAAGCAGCTCTGCAGCGTTTAACATCCTGCCTTGCTGAGGCTGCTGAGCTCTTTGGGCTGAAGTCAGCTTGAAGAAGACAGAGGTTCTCCATCAACCTGCACCTCAGGAAGTCCCCCATCAAGTCCCCCATCATCCCCACATCACCATTGGCCAATCAGAGCTCAAATCAGCCCAGCAGTTTAATTACCTGGGCAGCCTCATCTCCTCGGACGGTGAGATGGATGGGGAGACATGGATGGAAAACTCCATAAAAGAGTTTGGTGTAATAAACACTTGAAGAAAAGCACCCAGATCAGTGTTTACAGAGCCATAGTGCTGTGTCTGCTCTCTTGGATGGATCCAGTCATGGGTCATCTACCGCCACCACCTGCGACTCCTGGAACGGTTCCATCAACGCTGTCTCCAAACAATCCTAAACATCCACTGGTCAGACTATGTGACCAATCCATCTGTTCTAGAACAAGCAGCTGTCACAAGCATTGAGGCCATGTTGCTGAGAACACAGCTGGGCTGGGCAGGGCACGTCTCCAGGATGAAGGACCAACCACCCCCTCCCTAAGATCGTGCTCTGGGGTGAACTCACCACCGGCTGCCGCAAGAGAGGAGCCCCGAAGAGGAGATACAAGGACTGCCTGAAACAACATCTCAGCCTTGGCCAGATTGATCACCAGAACTGGTCTGCTCTGGCCTCCAACCAGGAGGCCTGGAGACACCCCATCTATAATGCAGCTGTCTCCTTTGAGAACACACGCAGGGTCACCCTCGAGGAGAAAAGGCAACGCAGAAAGAACCGTGTCTTGCAGAATACACCATCTAAGGAGTCTTTCTGCTGTGCCTTTTGCAATCGGATATGTCTGTCTTGTATTGGCCTCATAAGCCACCAGTGTGCCTGTAACAAATGTGGACAGAGCCTTCCCAAATCTTCGTTCACGAAGCCCAGCCATGATGATGATTTCCAACCAACTCATGAACATTCATTATACATAAGCATTACACATTATTAAGTCAGACATTCAACAGATGTTTTTTTCTTAGACCAGAATATTATCTGTAAGTATCCATAACATATTGTCAAGTCAGACATTCAGCAGATGTTTGCTTGTTATCTGTATAAAGTTATAAATTTTTAAGGAAGGTGCTATTATCTAGCTAACTAAACAAAATTCCTTCACTATAAATCTTACACAAGGTAAAAGGGAGGGTAACTTGTTTTATCTCTTTACAGGGGCCCAGTTAAGTTTTAGGATTTGTTTTTCTTTTCTCTCTCCAGGTCATTATTGACCTTACACAATTTTCTTTTAATTAGCCCAAATCATTTTCTCAGTTTATCACAGCTGGGAAAAAGGGGCAACATTCCAAGGCTCATTAATCCATCGGGAAAAGGGCAAAATTCCAGGTCAGAGTGTTAAACAAACCCCGCTGACCCCAGCACAGTCCCAGCTGAACACACCAACACTGGAATCATTTCATTCAATGATCAATCAAGAGCTTAAAGGATCCTTTAACACCCCCTGGAAGGGCAGGAAATCCGATGGGAAGGAGTTGGGAAAACAATTCTCTGCCAGTAAAGCTTTCCTGGACAAAAAGGGGGATTGGGAATCACGGCCCTCCAACCATAAAGATCATTTTTGGGGCCGCTCTGGTGGAGTTTTGGGTCTGCTTTGAGGGCTCCATTCCCTGTCCTGTTCGTTCCAGGAATTCAGGGAGATGCCCAACACTTTGGGTGGGATTTGACAGCCCATCCCAGGCTGAGAATTCCCTACTGCCCTTGTCTTTAAAGCCCTGGGAGGTGGGACTTACATTCCTGAACTTGGCTGTCCAGGAATCCATGTGATCCAGGAGCTGCCTGTTCATCGTCACCCGCGCCCAGACCTGCGGAAACATGGAAAAACTCCTGGAATACCCACATTTTTTAGGGTCTGTGACAATTCCTGCCACTTCCAGAGGAAGGTAGCTAGTTAAACACCGGAGGATTTTCTCCTGCCACAGCTCCAACCCAAACCTTGGCACAAAACTGTGCTTTTCAAAGGCCTGTTTCTCCCTTTGGGGTGCTTTTCCTGCTGGATTTACCTCCTCTGCTGCCTGTTTGGAGCTCAGATCTGCCTCATCCTTGTGTGCTGACGGAGCCTGGGACCTGCAGGCCAGCTGGTACTGGAATTTCCTCAGGATCTGGGCGTGGTCTGCCATGGAGCGGCTGTAATTCCAGAAGGTTGGGCTGCTGGAAGGGGAGCTGGAGTCGGAGCTCCCTGGAATGAGTCAATCATTAAGGTCACACACAAGCATTGCCAATTAATCCTGGAAGCGACAGCACAGGCACAAGTCAGAGTGAAGGGATACACTGGAGTCACTCTGCAGAAACACTGGAGTCAGCCTTGGATGGATTGGCCCTATCCAGGGAAAAAACTGCCTGGAGGGAGTTCATTCCCTTTTATTTTTATCTTGATTGTCCCTATCCAGGGTAAAAACTGCCTGGAGGGAGTTCATTCCCTTTATCCTTGTCTGGATTGTCCCCATCCAGGGTAAAAACTGCCTGGAGGGAGTTCATTCCCTTTATCCTTGTCTGGATTGTCCATACCCAGGACAAAACCTGCCTGGAGGGAGTTCATCCCCTTTCTCCTTGTCTGGATTGTCCCTATCCAGGACAAAAACTGCCTGGAGGGAGTTCATTCCCTTTCTCCTTGTCTGGATTGTCCCTATCCAGGACAAAAACTGCCTGGAGGGAGTTCATTCCCTTTATCCTTGTCTGGATTGTCCCTATCCAGGGTAAAAACTGCCTGGAGGGAGTTCATTCCCTTTATCCTTGTCTGGATTGTCCCTATCCAGGACAAAACCTGCCTGGAGGGAGTTCATCCCCTTTATCCCTGTCTTGGTTGTCCCTATCCAGGACAAAAACTGCCTGGAGGGAGTTCATTCCCTTTATCCTTGTCTGGATTGTCCCTATCCAGGACAAAAACTGCCTGGGGGTTGTTCATCCCCTTTATCCCTGTCTTGGTTGTTCCTACCCAAGACAAAAACTGCCTGGAGATAGTTTATACCCTTTTATCCTTATCTGGATTGTCCCTATCCAGGGTAAAAACTGCCTGGGACTTGTTCATTCCCTTTATCCTTGTCTGGATTGTCCCTATCCAGGACAAAACGTGCCTGGAGGGAGTTCATCCCCTTTATCCTCGTCTTGGTTGTTCCTATCCAAGACAAAAACTGCCTGGAGAGAGTTTATGTCCTTTTCTCCTTATATGGATTGTCCCTATCCAGGGTAAAAACTGCCTGAAGGGAGTTCATCCCCTTTATCCTTGTCTGGATTGTCCCTATCCAGGGTAAAAACTGCCTAGAGGGAGTTCATTCCCTTTATCTTTGTCTTGATTGTCCCTATCCAGGGTAAAAACTGCCTGGGACTTGTTCATCCCCTTTATCCTTGTCTGGATTGTCCCCATCCAGGGTAAAAACTGCCTGGGACTTGTTCATTCCCTTTATCCTTGTCTGGATTGTCCCTATCCAGGACAAAACCTGCCTGGAGGGAGTTCATCCCCTTTATCCTCGTCTTGGTTGTTCCTATCCAAGACAAAACCTGCCTGGAGGGAGTTCATCCCCTTTATCCTTGTCTGGATTGTCCATACCCAGGACAAAACCTGCCTGGAGGGAGTTCATTCCCTTTATCCCTGTCTTGGTTGTTCCTATCCAAGACAAAAACTGCCTGGAGAGAGTTTATATCCTTTTCTCCTTATCTGGATTGTCCCTATCCAGGACAAAAACTGCCTGGAGGGAGTTCATTCCCTTTTATTTTTGTCTTGATTGTCCCCATCCAAACTGCCTGGGGGTTGTTCATCCCCTTTATCCTTGTCTGGATTGTCCCTATCCAGGACAAAAACCACCTGGAGGGAGTTCATTCCCTTTATCCTTGTCTGGATTGTCCCTATCCAGGACAAAAACTGCCTGGAGGGAGTTCATCCCCTTTATCCTTGTCTGGATTGTCCCTATCCAGGGTAAAAACTGCCTGGAGTTCATTCCCTTTAACCTTGTCTGGATTGTCCCTATCCAGGACAAAAACTGCCTGGAGGGAGTTCATCCCCTTGATCCTTATCTTGATTATCCCTATCCAGGATAAAAACTGCCTGGATTCACCCCCTCTGTCTGGAACCACCCCCACAAAACCCCCCTCTCATCGAGGTGATCATCTTATCACCGCCAGCACTGCTACAGAGACCACGGATCATCTCACATTCCAAGCTTAGATCCAACCCAAAGGAATAATCTGGAGGAAAGCTGAAGCTCCCAAGCCATGGAGATGTGCAGAAACCCTGGTGTTCCCCCATTCCTCACAGACTAACCTGTTGAGCAGTTTGCCAAGCTCCCAGGGATTCCCACAAACGCTCTGTTTGCTGGAATTTCCCTCTCCCACTCCCGAATAAAACCGACACCTTCCCATTCCCAAGCCGTTCCCACAAAATCCCGGGCACTTACCCAGCTGGACTCTGTGCTGTTTCTCCTCCTCGTTCCTCAGGAAGGTGTCCAGGGATTTGACATCAGTGATGTAGTCATCCTTGTGGGTGTTGTTGTTGTACAGGATGGGGGAGAACCGGTAGTGGGACCTCATCCCGCCGCCGTCCGCCGCTCCCGGGGAATAGGGGGATCCGTTGGGAGAGTGGCTGAAGCTGGAAACCTTGGGGGGGGGGAGAGAAAAAAAACCCCCAATCCTGCTGGGATTGTTTTTGTTTTCCTGATGCCTTAAGACTCTTTCAGTTTTTTGGGGTTTTCTAATTTTTATAAGCTTTACAAGTAGTTATACAAGTAGATTTTAGGAGCAGCAGCCCTTATTCCTCCACCCTTTAGCACGGTAGTTTACACATTCCTCTGCCCCTGCATGCCCCATTCCATGCTCCCATATCAATATTCCCTGAATTCCAGCAGAAGATGTTTAGTCTCTCTTTAAGAGGAGGCCCTTTTGTTTAAGGACATTTGTGCCTTGGCCTGAACCACAAAAGTACAGTCAAGAACTGGGTGACCCTGTACCCCTTTTGTGCTCTGAAGATGATGACGATGATGAAGAAAAGCCCCCAGCCCCAATTCCAAGGGGGTGGGACATGGGTGGGCCAAAGCCACGGGGTGGAAGCACTTGGGATTGGACAGACAATATTATAAATTGTAACACCTGTGTCTTGTGATCTTATGCCCGGGCACAAATTAAACCTTTTTCTTATCTCATCCTCGATTAAATTGGAGGGTTTTTTTTTCCTCAGCTCCTGCAGGCAACATTCCCAAGGATCAGGCTCATCAGGGGATGATGTTCACACAGATCCACAGATCCACAGAATGGTTTGGTTGGAAGGGACCTTAAAGATCATCTTGTTCCAACCCCCCCCCATGCTACCTAAAACTCAAGTTATCTCCCGAAAACCAAAGCAAGGGAAACTTATCCAATTTTATTTTAGAAGTAGGAAGGAGCGTCCTGCATCCCTGGGATGTTCTGGATGGAAACTGCTCAAATAACTTCACAAAGAATTATTGAATTTCTGCTGTTTCAGCTCGGCACACAAAATGTGCCTCCCAGGATACAGCTCTGGGGCAGGAATTTCATCCTTATGTTGTTGGGGTCTGTCCTGGTTAGAACAGCTGGGCCCAGTTCATCACTGGATGGGTGTAGCCCAAAACTGGGTATTCTAGAGCCTTCCATGCCATTGCCCAGAAGCTGTTGTCAATAGACTATTTGCACCCTCTGCCCAGAGCAGCCCTGACTCCTCAGGCTACAAACTGGATGTTAAGAGGCCTGTGAGACAGGAGAGTGTTTTCGTCCTCACGCCCATTGAGGAACCCCCCACCCTGAGGGAGGTACTGAGCATTCCTGCCTGAACTGGAGGACAGATAATCTTGGAGTCTTGGGACTTTCTTAACCACTTGAGGGATCCAGAGGGAGACTGCAGATCACCGCTCTCAGCCAGACTGCAACCACCACTCTTGACTGGACTGCAACCACCACTCTTGACTGGACTGCAACCACCACTCTTGACTGGACTGCAACCACCACTCTTGACTGGACTGCAACCACCACTCTTGACTGGACTGCAACCACCACTCTTGACTGGACTGCAACCACCACTCTTCAGCCAGACTGCAACCACCACTCTTCAACCAGACTGCAACCACCACTCTTGACTGGACTGCAACCACCACTCTTCAACCAGACTGCAACCACCACTCTTGACCAGACTGCAACCACCACTCTTCAACCAGACTGCAACCATCACTCTCGACCAGACTGCAACCATCACTCTTCAACCAGACTGCAACCACCACTCTTCAACCAGACTGCAACCATCACTCTCGACCAGACTGCACCACCACTCTCACCAACAGGTTTTTCCCTCTCCCTTTACTTTGGACTCAGGGGGCCCAAAGAACACCACTCTGTTCCTGCCCCAGGGTGCTGGGTTATACATTTGGGCTTTGTGGGTTAAACCCAACTGTTTGTCTGTATAATCGTACTTACTGTATTATTTTATGAAATTGTTATTCTGACTTATAATCTCTGTTTTGAGCTGAGTTCATTTCCCCTCCTGGTTCACCTTTAAACCAGCACAGGGCCTTACCTTGCCGTAGGTGCTGCCGGGGGAGTAGGAGACGGAGCCGGCGTGGGAAGGGCTGGCCAAGGCCTGGAGCTGGGGGCTGAATCCACTCACACATCCCGAGGAGAACTTGGGGCTGGCGCTGGGGGAGCGGGAGGGGCTGTAGCTGAGCACACACTGCCCCTGGATCGGGGGGGACGGCGGCAGGGACAGCACCCGCTTGGCTGATGGATCCCGAGGGGGGGTGACCTGCACGGCTGGGGGGGACAGAGGGGTCAGCCCAGACCCTCCTCCCTCTGAGCACACACAGCACTCCCCAGGGATGGAGGGGTGGCACGAGGGACACCAAAGGAAGGCCCTGGAGGGGCTGGAGCAGGGGCAGAGAAGAGCAGCGAGGCTGGGGAAGGGACTGGAGCCCAAGTGCTGGGAGGAGAGGCTGAGGGAGCTGGGGGGGCTCAGCCTGGAGAGGAGGAGGCTCAGGGGAGACCTCCTCACTCTCTGCAACTCCCTGCCAGGAGGGGGGAGCCGGGGGGGGGTTGGGCTCTTTTCCCAGGCAACCATCAGCAAGACAAGAGGGCTCGGTCTTCAGCTGTGCCAGGGGAGGTTTAGGTTGGATATCAGGAAGAATTTCTTTGCAGAGAGGGTGCTCAGCCATTGGAATGGGCTGCCCAGGGAAGTGGGGGATTCTCCGTCCCTGGAGGTGTTTAAGGACAGACTGGATGTGGCATCAGTGCCATGGGCTGGGAACCACGGCGGGGTTGGATCAAGGGTTGGGCTGGATGAGCTCGGAGGTCCCTTCTAACCCAGCTGATTCTGGGATTCTGTGATGAAATCTAAAATCATGGAATATTTTCAGCTGGAAGGGACCCACCAGGACCACCAAGCCCAACTCCTGTCCCTGCACAGGACACCCAAAACCCCCAGTTCAGTTCACAGCCCAGGTCAGAGGAGGGAATCTAAAATCAGGGAATATTTGAGATGAGGTGATCTAAAATCAGGGAATATTTGGAGAGGAGGTGATCTAAAATCAGGGAATATTTGAGAGGAGGGGATCTAAAATCAGGGAATATTTGCACATGAGGTGATCTAAATCAAGGAATATTTGGAGAGGAGTCAATCTAAAATCAGGGAATATTTGGAGAGGAGTGATCTAAAATCAGGGAATATTTGAGAGGAGGTGATCTAAAATCAGGGAATATTTGGAGATGAGGGGATCTAAAATCAGGGAATATTTGGACATGAGGTGATCTAAAATCAGGGAATATTTGAGAGGAGGTGATCTAAAATCAGGGAATATTTGGAGAGGAGTCAATCTAAAATCAGGGAATATTTGGACATGAGGTGATCTAAAATCAGGGAATATTTGGAGATGAGGGGATCTAAAATCAGGGAATATTTGAGATGAGGTGATCTAAAATCAGGGAATATTTTGAGATGAGGAGGTCTAAAATCAGGGAATATTTGGAGAGGAGGTGATCTAAAATCAGGGAATATTTGAGAGGAGGTGATCTAAAATCAGGGAATATTTGGAGAGGAGTCAATCTAAAATCAGGGAATATTTGGAGAGGAGGTGATCTAAAATCAGGGAATATTTGAAAGGAGGTGATCTAAAATCAGGGAATATTTGGAGATGAGGGGATCTAAAATCAGGGAATATTTGGAGATGAGGTGATCTAAAATCAGGGAATACTTGGAGATGAGATCTAAAATCAGGGAATATTTTGACATGAGGTGATCTCAAATCAGGGAACATTTTGAGCCAGAAGGGACCCACTGGGAGCACCCAGCCCAACCCCTGCCCCTGCACAGACCCCCCAAACCCCAGTTCAGTCCCAGTTCCACTGAGCTCCCTCAGAACTGACCTCACTCCAGGCCCTGCTGCAGGGACAGGACCCTCCCCAAACCCCCCAAAAAGCCCCCAAACCCCCCCAAAAAGCCCTAAAATCCCAGCCTGAAGCCCTGGTTGTGCCGCTGCCCCACCTGCCCTGCGCAGCCAGCCCAGGACCTGCGGGCTGGGGGTCCCGCCCGGCCCCGCCGGCGCCGCCGCCGAGGTGAAGTAGCGCCAGAAATCGAAGAGGGCGTTGAGGCTGAACAGCGAGGCCAAGGCGAACTCTGCCAACAGACACAGCCAAAAAGCACGTTTTTGGGACAGAAACGGGCCCGGGGTGGGGAAAAAAGGGCAAGGACTTGGGCAGCTCCTTAGGAGAGAACCACAGGAGAGCGTGGCCCTCGCCGGGCTGAGCTTCGCTGGGGTGGGCTCGGGATAACTGAGGGGGGTTAAGATCTAACTCAGGTATTTTAAGACTTAATTTGGATATTTTAAAATTTAATTTAGGTATTTTAAGATCTAACACAGGTATTTTAGGATTTAACGTAATATTTTTGAGATTCAACTTAGCTATTTTAAGATTTAACTTAGGTACTTTAAGATTTAATTTAGACATTTTGAGATTCAACTTGGGTATTTTAAGATTTATTTTAGGTATTTTAAGATTCAATTTGGATATTTTAAGATTTATTTTAGGTATTTTAAGATTCAATTTGGATATTTTAAGATTTATTTTAGGTATTTTAAGATTCAATTTGGATATTTTAAGATTTATTTTAGGTATTTTAAGATTCAATTTGGATATTTTAAGATTTATTTTAGGTATTTTAAGATTCAATTTGGATATTTTAAGATTTATTTTAGGTATTTTAAGATTCAATTTAGGTATTTTAAGATTCAATTTGGATATTTTAAGATTTATTTTAGGTATTTTAAGATTCAATTTGGATATTTTAAGATTTAATTTAGGTATTTTAAGATTTAATTTAGGTATTTTAAGATTTAACTCCGGTATTTTAAGATTTAACTCCGGTATTTTAAGATTTAACTCAGGTATTTCAAGATTTTATTTAGGTATCCTAAGATCTAACTCAGCTGTTTTAAGGTTTAACTCAGGTATTTTAAGATTTAATGTAATATTTTAAGATTTACCTCAGGTATTTTAAGATTTTATTTAGATATTTTAAGATTCAATTCAGCTATTTTAAGATTTAACTTAGATATTTTAAGATTTAATAAATAATAATAATTATTTAATAAATAATTAAGATTTAATTTAGATATTTTAAGATTTAGTGTAATATTTTAAGATTTAACTTAGGTACTTTAAGATTTAATTTAAATAAAATATTTAAATTTAATTAATTTAATTTAAATTAATTCAATGAATTAAATAATAAATTAAATAATAATAAATTAAATAATAATAAATTAAATAATTAGATTAATTAAATTAATTTAATTTAAATTAATTAAACTTAATTTAAATATTTTAAGATTTAAGTATTTAAAAATTAATTTAAACATTTTAAGACTTTAAACTTAAACACTTTAAGCTTTAACTTAGATCTTTTAAGGTTCAACCCAGGTATTTGAAGATTTAATTTTAGATAAACATTTTAAGATTATTTTCCCAGCAGGAGATCTCATGAGTCTGTGATTCCTTCTCATCCTGTTGGACACATCCCAAAGTCTCCTCTCTGAATGTCACACCCACACCAGTCAAACTCGACCTCCAAACCCTTCATCCACACCTTAAAACACATTTAATGCACCAAAGTAGTTCTTTTATGATGGAAAAAAGTGGTTAAAACTCCTTCTCTGCCGTTAAAAAGGATGAAATTCCGGTGGTTTTGAAGGGGGGCACGGAAAGTTTGGGTTTAACAGAAATGACAGAAATGTAAATATATATATATATAGCTGTTTTTAGTTTGTACAGTATATTTATTTGTGTAAATAAATGTTTTTTTTCTTCCCCTTCCCCTAGAGAAGCCTGAAAGTTTCTCTCCAGTGTCGAGATAAAATTGTGGGAAGGGGTGGGGGGGGGAAAAGCCTGAAAATTGGATTTTTAGATTTCTAAATGTGGCTCAAACTGCCACAGTTTTTAAAAAGGGAAGAAAAAAAACTTTCCAAAGGCCCTCCCAGGAAAGAAGATGAGTGGGAAAAAAGCCTGGAACGCGGCAGGGACTCACCAATGTACCACAGAGGGAAGCAGCTGATGTTGTAATAGGTGCTCAGGAGCTTCCCAGTCCTGCAAGGAAGGACAAGAAGCGGGAATTCAGCAGGAATTCAGCGGGAATTCAGCGGGAATTCAGCGGGAATTCAGCGGGAATTCAGCGGGAATTCAGCGGGAATTCAGCGGGAATTCAGCGGGAATTCAGCGGGAATTCCAGGCAGGGGGTGTTTGCCAGCCAAAGGAACTCACATTTCCGTGTAGATGAGCCCGGCCAGGGAGATGTTGAGGAGCCCCCAGGCCAGCACCACCTTCCTGGACTCGGCCTGTTTCCTCAGCCTCACGGCCAGCTCCAGCACCGACGTGTCCGGGCTCTTGTTTGGAGTCATCTCCTGCGGGAACGGGGAGAGAAAACACAAAATACAGGGGATTTTATTGGCAGGGAGATGCAGCTCAGCCTCACTTTGGGGTAATAATAACTTTGAGAGGAGGAGGGGAAGCTCCTCCAGCACGGGGAGGAAAGGCCTGGCTCAGTTCTGTAGGGTTTTTATTGGCAATTCCCACTTATTTCTGGATTTTCTGGAATAGGAAACCCGCCGGTTTTGTTTTCTCCTCTACGCCCAGTTATACTTTCTGTGAGGGAAATAACCCTGGCACAGGCAGGGAGCCCCCACAGCTCCCCCCACACCTCATTTCTACCCCTTCCCAAATCTCTTCTCTCTCCCCACCCCTCTCATATTTCCCCTCTCCCCAAACCTCAATTCTCCCCCTCTCCAAACCCCTCCTCCCCCAGCAAGTCTTCCTCCTCCCTCTCCCCAAACCTCTGCACTTCTCCGTCCCCAAAACTCTCCTCTCCCTCCCCAAACCTCTTCCCCTCCCCAGTCTCATTTCTCCCCTCTCCCCAAACCCCACATTTCCCCTCCCCAAACCTCTCCCTTCTCCCCTCCCCAAACCTCATTTCTCCCCTCTCCCCAAACCCCACACTTCCTCTCCCCAACCTCATTTCTCCCCCCTCCAAATCTCTCCTCTCTCCATCCCCAAACCTCATTTTTCCCTTTTCCCAACCTCCCCTCTCCCCAAACCCCACATCTCTCCAATCCCCCTCCCCAAACTTCACCATCCCCCTCCCCAAATATCAATTCCCCCTTCCCCAAATCTCCCTTCTCCCCCTCCTCAAACCTTCCCTTTCCCCCTCTCAACCTCCCCTTTTCCCCTTCCCAAACCTTACCTCTCCCCTTCTCCAAACCTCCCCCTCCCCAATCTCCCCTTCTCCCCCTCCCCAAATCCCCCCTCTCCCCTTCCAAAACCCCCCCTCTCCCCCTCCCCAGATCTCACCTCTCCCCCTTCCCCAAACCTTGTTTTTCCCCATCCCCAAACCTCTCCCCACCTCAAACCTCTGCACTTCCCCTCCCCAAATCTCCCCTCCCTCTCCCAAAACTTCCCCCCCAAACCTTCCCTCTCTCCCTCCCCAAAAACCCCAAACCTCCCCTTTCCCCTCAAACCTCCCTTCTTCCTCTCCTCTCCTCTCCCCAGTCCCCATTCCCACCTCACCATTCCCATTCCCCTCCCCGCTCTCTCCTCTCTCCATTCCCATTCCCACCTCATTCCCATTCCCCTCCGCTCTCTCCTCTCCTCAATCCCCATTCCCCTCTCTCCCATTCCCAACTCACCATTCCCATTCCCCTCCCTCCCCGCTCGCCTCCGCTCCCCGGCTCACCTCCACCACTCCCATCCCCATTCCCACCTCAACATTCCCATCCCACTTCCCACATCACCAGCCCCATTCCCACCGCACCAGTCCAGTTCCCCTTCCCGCTCGCTCCTCTCTCCATTCCCATTCCCCGCCGCTCGCTCCTCTCTCCATTCCCATTCCCCCCTCTCCCATTCCAAACTCACCATTCCCCATTCTCTCCTCTCCACAACCACCACATTCCCAGTCCCACCTAACAATTCTCGTTCCCCTCCCCGCTCTCTCCTCTCTCCATTCCCAGTCCCATCCGCTCTCGCCTCCCCATTCCCCAACAACATAAAAACATTCCATGACACCTCACCATTCCCATTCCCCTCCCCCGCTCTCGCCCCCCCCCCCCCCCCCCTCCTCTCTCCATTCCCACTCCCCTCCGCTCTCTCCTCTCCCCAACCACCACATTCCCATTCCCGTCTCACCGTTCCCATTCCCGTCTCACCGTTCCCATTCCCGTCTCACCGTTCCCATTCCCGTCTCACCGTTCCCATTCCCGTCTCACCGTTCCCGCTCCCCTCACGCCGCCGCTGCCCCTCGGCGCTCTCTGCGCCTGCGCGGGCGCTCGCGTTACGTCACGGGCCGCGCCGCGCGCCGGAGGGGGCGGGGCCGAGCGGGGCCGTGGGGGCGCTCGCGCGCCGGTTTTGGGCGGGAAGCGCTGAGGGGGCCGCCATGTTGGGGGGGGGCGGATGAGGAGGGGTCCCCTCACACGGACACGCTCTGTTCAGTTATTTTATCGAGTTATCTTTATTGATAAATTGATTCGTTACGTGAAGGAGTAACGCCTGTCTGTTTGCGCGCTGTGCAGGTGTAACTTCATCGTTCTGCGTGGGTGTAACCTCGTGTTTCTGTACAAGCACAACTTCGACTTTCTGTACAACCACAGCTTCATATTTATGTACAAGTGTAACCATATATCTGTACAAGCACAACCTCAAATTCTGTACAAGTGGAAATGTATTTCTATACAAGCACAAGCTCATATTTCTGCACAAGCATAGCTTCACATTTCTGTACAGGTGTAACTTCATATTTCACCACAAGAACAACCTCATGTTTCTGTGCCAAGTTAACTTCAGGATTTTTGTACAACCACAACTACTTCTTTCTGTACAGCTGTAAATTCATATTTCTGTATAAGCACAATCTCATATTTCTGTGCGGGCGCAACTTTGTATTTCTATACAAGCTGTAAGTTCCTATTTCTGCACAATCACAACTTCAATTTTATGTACAGGTGTAACTTCATCTTTCTGTACAAACACAACCTCATCTTTCTGCACAACCATAACCTCACATTTCTGTACAGCTGTAACTTCATATTTCGCCACAAACACAACCTCATGTTTCTGTGCCAATGTAACTTCAGATTTTTGTACAACCACGACTTCTTATTTCTGTACGGCTGTAAAGTCATATTTTTTGTACAAGCACAACCTCATATTCCTGTACTAGTATAACTTCAGATTTCTGCACAAGTGTAACTTATTTCTGCACGAGCACAACTTCCAATTGCTGTACAGGTGTAACTTCATATTTCTGTAAAAGCACAATTTCATACTTCTTGGGGGTGTGACTTTGTATTTCTGTACAAACACAACTTCCTATTTCTGTACGAGCATAAACTTTATCTATTATCTGTACAGGTGTAACTTTATATTTCTGTACAGGTGTAACTTCACATTTATGCTCCCACCTCGGGGACATTTCCATGTGATATTGTCCTTTTCGGGCAAGAAAAACAGGGGGTTTTTCCCACAAGTGGGAAAAGTTGGGAAGCAGCAAAGTGAGAGGAGCTGGATGGAGGAGCCAGACCTGGGGCGTGTTGAGCTGAGAGGGCTAAAAAGCTCCCGCAGGGAGGGAAAAATCCTACAGGACAAGGGGCGGCTGCTTCCCAAAAGAAAGAATTTTCCGGGATATTCTCATTTTCCAGGACATCCCGCACATTTCTTAATTTTTTTTTTCCCATTCTGCTTCAGGTTTGTGCAGATACAGGAACATCCAAGTTGTCTGAGCGTGCCGGTGGGATGTGTTAGTCCTTTATAAAAAAATCATGGAATCCCAGGATGGTTTGGGTGGGAAGGGACCTTAAAAGCCCATCCTGTTCCAACCCTGACACTTCCCAATCTCCCAGGTTGCTCCAACCTGGCCTTGGACACTTCCAGGGATGGCATAGCCACAGCTTCTCTGGGCAAACCCTGTGCCAGGGCCTCCCCAAAAGCTGGTTATTGGAAAACATTCAGTGATAAATAACAGAGTTGGAGAAGGGGGCAGATAAATTTAAAAAGGAGGAGACCTGATTTGGTAGATCCACGTTTGTGGGTGATTTAATTTGGTTGGAAAGTCTCTTGGCTTTGACTCATTTCCTGAGGAAGAGGACGAAAGGACGAGGAAGGTTTGTGGAGATCAGAGGGAAGATCCTGCCCTGCTCCTCTCCCAACATTTTCCTTATTCCAGCGGGACGGGACTTTAATCCCGTGTTTTCTGCTGACACCTGCTGGCCCTCAGCAGGAGGGTTTTTGTGGGCCCTACCCAAACAACCCGGGAAGTTGTTGTGGTGGATTAACTATCCCATGGGACGGTGTCACCGGGAGAACCGGTCTTTAATCTCCAGGGACAGGGAACTAAAAAACACAAAGCTGCAACGATGGAGGTGGCTGGGGACAGCCCTGTGAGTTTGAAGGTCTTGGTTTCCTAATTTAAGGAAAAATCAGTTGGAAATAAACAGCCAGGGTCATTAGACTTGCAGTGCAGATTTTCCAGAGAGATCAAAAAGGAGGGTTCTGCCTCCGAAACGACGCCGGTCCCACGTACAAGTGATAAACCACACACTGAAATCCCGACTCATTCCTTATCCAGGGCATTTCCAAGGTGCCTGGTGGATTAGGAACATGGAATGGAACAGAAATAACAGTTCTCTCACCAGCAATCCAAAATGAATTGGTGTTATAACCAACTAATTTTGATTATCCAAGGGCCCTTTCTGATGTTACAGGTCTAAATCAACAAGAGGAGAAAAGAAATATTTCCATGCAAAAGGTGAAATTTTCTGGGATTTCTTTCCTCACTGGGATAACTCTCCTAACTTTCTGGGATTTCTCTCCTTACAGGTGGTGTTTCTGTTCCTTAAAACCGTGCCCCTCGTTCCTCACCTCTGGTGACGTTTGAGAGGTGTCAACGTTCAGAAGTATTGGAGCAATCCAACAAGAGGGGGTTGTCGGGCTCTGCTCCCGGGGAACGAGGGACAGGACGAGAGGAAACGGCCTCGAGCTGTGCCAGGGGAGGTTTGGGGTGGATATCGGGAGAATTCCTTCCTGGAAAGGGTGGTCAGGCCTTGGCAGGGGCTGCCCGGGGGAGGGGGGAGTCCCCAGCCCTGGAGGGATTTAAAGCCCTGTGGATGTGGCACGTGGGGACACGGGGCAGTGGTGGCCTTGGCAGAGCTGGGAAGGGTTGGACTCTGTGATCTCGGAGGGCTTTTCCAAGCCCCAAAGGTTCTCCAATCCAGCAGGGAGACACTCGGGTTGGGGGAGGTTCATTTGACCTTTCACTCCTTCCCATGTCCCCAGGGTGTCCCTGACTCACTGCACGACTCCACATCCTCTTGGGACAGCGAGGAGAGGACGGCCCAGCCCTGCCCACGTTGGAGTGCCCTAATTGGCAGCACTAATTGCCCTGACCAGGCTTGTGGAGGGTTCCCACCCACCCACCACCCACCCCTTGGCGTGGGAGCCCCATTTAAACCAAGCTCCCTTCTTTTGGGCCCTGTTGGAACTGTGCTGAGTCCACGCTGGATTTGGGCTCGTGGTTGTTTCCCTCCTGGCTGTGGAGCTGCCTTGGGATGTCCCTGAGGACCTGGACCCTCCTGGCTGTTCCTGGTCAGTGCCCCCAGACCCGCTCTGTGGGGTCCCCTGGGGCTCTGCTGCTTGTGGGGTCCCTAATCCTAATCCTAATCCCTCCCGCCCTTCTTAGGTCCCCAGTCCCACCTGCCTTTCTGTCTCCTCTGGCTTCCTGCTGCTCCCTAATTCCTGGGGGTGTTTTGGACCCTGGGATCTACCCTATGGATGTTTTCAGCCTCTTAGAATCCTGGAATGACTTGGCTCGGGAGGGACTTCAAAGCCCATCCAGTTCCAACCTTCCCGCTGTCCCAGGTTGCTCCAACCTGCCCTTGGATCCAGGGATCCAGGGGCAGCCTCAGCTTCTCTGGGAAATCCATTCCAGCCCCTCCCCACCCTCCCAGCCAGCAATTCCTTCCCAATATCCCACCTATCCCTGCCCTCTGGCACTGGGAAGCCATTCCCTGTGTCCTGTCCCTCCATCCCTTGTCCCCAGTCCCTCTCCAGCTCTCCTGGAGCCCCTTTAGGCCCTGCCAGGGGCTCTCAGCTCTCCCTGGAGCCTTCTCTTCTCCAGGGAACCCCCCCAGCTCTCCCAGCCTGGCTCCAGAGCAGAGGGATCCAGCCCTGGGAGCAGATCCATGGCCTCCTCTGGATTCACTCCAACTTCACCCAAACCTGTGGCTCGTCTCCAAACCCTGCAGGACCTCCCAGCTCCCGTGGGAGGGCAGAGCTGGAGACCTCTGGAGCCCCTCGGGGAGGGTCAGGTGTGGGTACAAAGGTCTGGATTTGAACGCAGCTCCTTAAATGCAGAGGGTGGAGGAGGCTCTGGATGGTGCTGATCAGGAATCCTGGAGCTGGTTGGGATACTTTGGATCCTGACACGTTTGGCAGGATCTCTTGGCAGCCTTTAAATCCGTGAGGGATGTCGAGTGAGTAATGAAACAAGCTCTAATTTTGCCCTGGATTAAATCCCTCCTTCCTGTTTTCAAGGAGTGAATCCACGGGACAGAGCTGGATTTGACTCCCACTGGAATTACTGCAGTTCCAGAAGCAAGGAATCAGCAGGAAACCCCTGTGGTGCTTCCTGACTCTTAGGATCAATTTTTGTTGTTTGATTGGTGCTTGTTTTCCCAGAATTGGGCTGGTTACCCCTCCCAGACCCGAGGCCTTTGTGCCCTTCGTGTGCCCCCAAGACACGACAGTCAGAGGGTGACTAATTCCTACGAGCCAGAACAGGCTGGATCCCTGCCTGGGGCTCTCTGTGTTCCCAAAAACACGAGCCCTGGTCTTGCACAAGCCTTGCTCGGGGTCTGAACCCATGACAGGCCTCCCTGGCTGCGGAGAGATCACGTGGGAGCGGAGATGAGGGGAGGAACAGCAGGGAGGTGATGTGAAAAGCTTCCTCTGGGAATTGTCACTTGGAATTTCCTTGTTCTCCTGAGGTGGATGGAGCAGCTGAACCATCTCCCTTCCATCCCATATTCCCAGGAATCCCATCTGCAGGTGTGACTGCAGGCTCAGCTCCTGGCTCTTCCTCAGCAACAGTTTTAATGGGATAAATAAAAAGTGGATCCAGCTCCTGGTTGTTCCTCAGCAACATTTTTAGTGGGATAAAAAACAAGTGGATCCAATTCCTGGTTGTTCCTCACTTGGAATTTCCTTGTTCTCCTGAGGTGGATGGAGCAGCTGAACCATCTCCCTTCCATCCCATATTCCCAGGAATCCCATCTGCAGGTGTGACTGCAGGCTCAGCTCCTGGCTCTTCCTCAGCAACAGTTTTAATGGGATAAATAAAAAGTGGATCCAGCTCCTGGTTGTTCCTCAGCAACATTTTTAGTGGGATAAAAAACAAGTGGATCCAATTCCTGGTTGTTCCTCAGCAACATTTTCAATGGGATAAAAAACAAGTGGATCCAGTCCTGTAACATTTTTAATGGGATAAATAAAAAGTGGATCCAGCTCCTGGTTGTTCCTCAGTAACGTTTTTAGTGGGATAAACAAAAAGTGGATCCAATCCCTTGTTGTTCCTCAGCAACATTTTTAGTGGGATAAACAACTACTGGATCCGCTCCTGTAACATTTTTAACGGGATAAACAAGAAGTGGATCCAGCTTCTGGTTGTAACTCAGTAACATTTTTAATGGGATAAAAAACAAGTGGATCCAGCTCCTGGTTGTTCCTCAGTAATGTTTTTAGTGAGATAAAAAACAAGTGGATCCAGTCCTGTAACATTTTTAGTGAGATAAATAAAAGTGGATCCAGCTCCTGGCTCTTCCTCAGTAACATTTTTAATGGGATAAAAAACAAGTGGATCCAATTCCTGGTTATTCCTCAGCAACATTTTCAATGGGATAAAAAACAAGTGGATCCAATTCCTGGTTGTTCCTCAGTAACATTTTTAGTGGGATAAAAAACAAGTGGATCCAGCTCCTAATTGTTCCTCAGTAATGTTTTTAATGAGATAAACAAAAAGTGAATCCAGCTCCTTGTTGTTCCTCAGCAACATTTTTAATGGGATAAATAAAAAGTGGATCCAGCTCCTGGTCATTCCTCAGGAACATTTTTAATGGGATAAAAAACAAGTGGATCCAGCTCCTGGCTCTTCCTCAGTGATGTTTTTAGTGGGATGAAGAAATGTGGATCCAATTCCTTGCTGTTCCTCAGGAACATTTTTAATGGGATAAAAAACAAGTGGATCCAGCTCCTGGCTCTTCCTCAGTGATGTTTTTAGTGGGATGAAGAAATGTGGATCCAATTCCTTGCTGTTCCTCAGGAACATTTTTAATGGGATAAAAAACAAGTGGATCCAGTCCTGTAACACTTTTAATGGGATAAACAAAAAGTGGATCCAGCTCCTTGTTGTTCCTCAGTAACGTTTTTAGTGGGATAAACAAGTAGTGGATCCAATTCCTGGTTGTTCCTCAGCAACATTTTTAGTGGGATAAAAAACAAGTGGATCCAGCTCCTGGCTCTTCCTCAGTGATGTTTTTAGTGGGATGAAGAAAAAGTGGATCCAATTCCTGGTTGGTCCTCAGCAACATTTTAAATGGGATAAACAAAAAATGGATCCAATCCCTGGTTGTTCCTCAGCAACATTTTTAGTGGGATAAAAAACAAGTGGATCTGCTCCTGTACCATTTTTAGTGAGATAAACAAGAAGTGGATCCAGCTTCTGGTTATTCCTCAGCAACATTTTTAGTGGGATAAACAAGAAGTGGATCCATCTCCAGGGCAGGTTATTCCCAAAGTTCAGCCAGGAGACTGCCTTGGCTCCCTCCCCATGGATAACAACAACTCCAACACCTGGGCACCTTCGACAAGGAGCGTTGACTGGGATAAAACTCTCTGGGATCTCTGGGACACAACCCCCCAGCCCGGCGAGGGCCGGGGTGACTCCTGTTTTCCCAGGAATCCGTGTGAAAGGACACACATTGCTCCGGATCCGCCTCCCGCCCCCCTGCTCTGGCCGTGCCCTTGGAAAATCCGGGTCTGGAGGTGCCCTCGGCCTCCCGGTGGCCTCGAGGGGGGTGATAAGGGTGGGAACTCGGGCGCGTGGGGCGATAGCTCTGCCCAGATAAGGTTTTACCTGGGAATAAAGCCCGGCATAAATCCCCCTCTTCCCAGGCCGAGCCGAGCCCGCGGCGAAGATGAGGCTGGTTCTGCTCCTCAGTGCCCTCCTCGGGGCTTCCCTGGCCCTGGAGACCTTCGTGGGGTGAGTTCCTCTGGGTTTGGGTTTGAGTTCTTCTGGGTTTGGGTTCGAGTTCCTCTGGGTTTGGGTTCGAGTTCTTCTGAGTTTTGGTTCGAGCTCAGCTTTGCAAAACCCGCCCGGGGCACATTCCCGGCGTTCTCCGACCGATTCCTCCCGTTCCTTTAGTTCCCTGGTGTTTGAAGGAACCTCTCTCCGCTCGAATTCAGGTTTTCTAAGCACTTGAGCTCCTGAAATCCTGCTCATCCAAGGCTTTTTTTTTGGCTTTTGCTGTTCCCCAAGCCTTGAGCTGGACCTAAACCTCGAGCTTGACAGACCTAGTCCAGCACAAAGCAGAGCTGAAAACCAGAGCCTGGCTTGGGATCAGAGATCTCTCCCCTTGTTTTCCAAGCTTATTTCTCCTCCTTTCCCTCATTTCTGCCTTCCTGAGCGATCCAAACCCTCGTCTCCAACCGCTAAATTCCAGAGGTTTATCTTTAGGTTGCGTTGCAAAAATTGTCTCTGACCCTGGAAGGACTTTTAATAATTAATAATTAAGAATTAAGAAATCCTGGGATTCAGTGAGTGAGCGCTAAGGATTAAGGAGATTTAAGGATTAAGAATAAAAAAATAATAAATATAACTTAAATGTATATCACTTACTCAAACCCAGGGCTTTGTGAGGCCAGGAGATCATTTAAACTTCACCCGTTTAATCCTGGACCGAATTCTCATGAATCCGGCGACATTTTCAGGAATATCCATCCCTGAAATAAAACAGAGGTGGAGAATCCAGTAACGAGTTATTCATGTGGAAAAACATTGATTTAAGTCGGTCCAACCAAAAAAAACCTCATCCCTGAGCTGGGCAGAGGGAGGGACCTGGTGTGAGCTGGTGGTGAATAAACCCCCACAAATCCGAGCTCAGCTTTTCCCCTCTTCGTCCCCATTTTAAGGTGTATTTCCCAGCTCTGGAGCTGACCCTGGAATTGATCCCGGGTCGTGCTTCCAGTTGTTGTCCCTCCCTCCACAGCGGGTGGAGCGAGGAGGCGCTTCCAGAGGGGGATTCATTCCCCCTTGGAATGGCGTCACCCAGCCACGATGCGGGACCGAACCCAGGAACAAATCCCGGTTTTTAAATAAAAGAGATCCCGTGCCCCCCAAACTCCACCACCACGTCGTTTTCCTGCCCAAAAACAGCTCATAAATTGAGTTTTACGAGTTTATGACCAGGGCTGGTCCTCCTGAGCAGCCCAAACCTCCCCCGGCCGTCGCCTCCCTCCCGGTGAAGGTGCCGGTTGTTGGGTGAACTCTTGGGTGAAGGTGCCGGTTGTTGGGTGAACTCTTGGGTGAAGGTGCCGGTTGTTGGGTGAACTCTTGGGTGACGCCGAGTCAGGAGGATTAAACGAACCCCCCGGGCAATTAACCCCGTTAATTAGCCAGTTCAGTGACTGCTCCTGAAGGCCCTGATTCCGTGCAGGCACCAGGTTCTCCGGATCCAGACCAGAAACGAGGAGGAGGTGAGGCAGCTGCAGCTCCTGGAGTCGCTGGAGCACCTCGAGGTACAGCCCGGGAGGGTTTGGGAACGTTCCAGGGGGGGCAGGACTTGGGAAAAGGGGTCAGGGCGTGGATTTGGGGCTCATCTGGAGGGTTTCTATCCAGCTACCATAAATATTTTTACTGTCCGAATAGAGTAGAAATATAAAATATATCGATATAAATCCATCCATATAAATCTATCAATATAAAATCTATCAATATAAGTTATAAAATATATATGTATAAAAATAGAATATATAAATGTGAAAGATATAAATATATAAATATAAAATACATCAATATAAATATACCAATACAAATATAAAAAGATACATATATAATATATAAATATAAATATATCAATATAAAAATATCAATATAAAATATAAAAATATAAAATATCAATATAAATATAAAATATATACATATAAAAATATAATATATAAATATAAACTATATCAATATAAAAATATCAATATAAATATAAAATATATCCATACATAAATATAATATATCAATATAAAATCTATCAATATAAAAATAAATATATACATATATAAATACAATATATTAAAATAAAATATATCAATAGAAATATATAAATATGAAATGTATCAATATAAATATAAAATATATCCATATATAAATATAATATGTCGATATAAAATATATCAATATAAAAATAAATATATACATATATAAATACAATATATAAAAATAAATTATATCAATATAAACATATAAATATAAAATATATACATATTAAAATATAAAAATATACATATATAATATATAAAGATAAAATATAGACATGTAAATATATCAATAGAAATATATAAATATGAAATTTATCAATATAAATATAAAATATATACATATATAAATATAAAATATATACATATATAAATATATATCACTATAAAATATATCACTATATATAAAAATATAAAATATATCAATGTGAATATGTAAACATAAAATATATAAATATAATTTATTTTTATAATTCTATAAATTATTTTATAATCTACTGTCTCAATACTCTATATTTGCTCTCCCAGCTCTAGAACCAGCTCGGTGTCCAGGAGTGCCTGAATCCCTATTTTTTTCCCCCTCCTGGATTTACAATCATATTTGAATTGTTCTTAATCTTGGTACTAAAACCCCCGTTTTTCCAGTGGGAATGGAGGGGTTTTTGTGCTTCTCTCCTGGTGCTGTGGAAGGTTGAAACACAAAACCACGCCGTGAAATTCCAGGTTTTACCTGGAATTGTAAAATTCCTGCTCCTGCCGGCGGGAATTTTTCACACTGGTGCCCTTTAAGATTATTTGAATGGTGTAGGAATGAAAACTCTGAAAAGGAGAGGGGAAAAAGGGAAATAAAACCAGCAGGGTTTGTGTCACCCGGTCCTGTAAAACAGAATTTTTTTTTTAAACTATTTCTAGTGAAAATAATAAAAATGTCATCGTATAAAGATCCAAATGAACGGAATTCCCTCTCGCTTTTGTGCCCAAGGCCCTGGAATTGGGGGAAATGTTGGCTTGATCCTCCCCCTGTTCGTGATTTCATTGCGAGGCCACAAAGAGTTCCAGGGCTCTTGGAACCTTGGGAGCCCCTGGATTTGGGAGGAACCGCCGTTCCCAAAGCTCCGGAAGAGCCGCTCGCAACCGAATCCTTCCTCCTTCCCCTTTCCCAGCTGGATTTCTGGATCAGCCCCTCTGCCCCCGCCCTCCCCGTGGACGTGAGGATTCCTGCTGCCGGCGTCCAGTCGGTCAAAGCCTTCCTGGAATCCCAGGGGATCGAGTATTCCGTCCTGATCGAGGACCTGCAGGTAGGGAATTCCGACGGGCACACGTGGAGCCTCCGAACCCTCTGGAAGCAAACCAGGATTCCCAGTTTGGCCTCGTTCCTGGCGTGGGCTCTCCCACGCCCTGTTTTCCGCGAGGTTCTCCCATTACTTTTGGGTTAATTCCTCCAAGACAATCCCGGGATTGCTGCAGGTGCTCCCGGAAAAAACCGCCTCGAGTGGTTTTTGAACTCCGGGGGTTCCACCCTGAGACAACCCTGGAGGAATTCCAGGTGGTATTTTGGCCACGGATCTTTGGGAATCACACCTGAGGTTACTCAGGATTCAGTAAAACACGTCAGGAGTAGTCAAGGATAAAAGTTGCCCACTGGGGCACCAATCCAACATCTTCCCGTGAGGAATGATCCCAAAATGGCACCGGAACCAACGAGTCCAGAGGGGCCATGGAGCTGCTCCCAGGGCTGGATCCCTCTGCTCTGGAGCCAGGCTGGGAGAGCTGGGGGGGTTCCCTGGAGAAGAGAAGGCTCCAGGGAGAGCTGAGAGCCCCTTCCAGGGCCTAAAGGGGCTCCAGGAGAGCTGGAGAGGGACTGGGGACAAGGCCTGGAGGGACAGGACACAGGGAATGGCTTCCCAGTGCCAGAGGGCAGGGTTAGGTGGGATATTGGGAAGGAATTGCTGTCTGTGAGGGTGGGGAGGGGCTGGAATGGATTTCCCAGAGAAGCTGTGGCTGCCCCTGGATCCCTGGAAGTGTCCAAGGTCAGGTTGGAGCAACCTGGGACAGCGGGAGGTGTCCCTGGGGTTGGAACTGGATGATCCTTCAGTTCCCTTCCCACCCAAACCATTCCAGGAATTCTCTGGTTAACTCAGCACAAACACTTGCCTTTTAAAACTCATGTTGTGACCGAAGCAGACTTTTCTCACCCTTGGAATGTCTCCTTTTAGGATGTTCTGGACAAGGAGCAGCAGGACATGGCCGAGAGCGCCCAGAGGGAGCGAAGCACCAGCTTCGACTTCAGCTCCTACCACACCCTGGATGAGGTGAGTCCCTCAGGGCAGGAGGGTTCTTTGCTTTTCCCTTTCTTCACGCTGTCTCCTATCAAAATTCCAATATTTAGGATCTAGGTGTCTCTCCACCTTCTCTTGGCGCCTGGTTTTGGGTTTTACTTGAATTAATTTAGTGGTCAGAATAATCAGAGCGAGTGCTAATCAAACTTTGCCATGAACTCCAAACCCCTTCCTTCTGAGCCTCCAAAGAGACAGAGAAATAAAGGAATCTTGAAATAGGGAGATAAAGGCCTCCTTGCCCAGGGAAGCTGTGGCTGCTCATCCCTGGAAGTGTCCAAGGCCGGGTTGGACAGGGATTGGAGCAACCCAGGATGGGTTGGAACCAGATGGTTTTCAAGGTCCCTTCCAACCCAAACCAGCCCACGATTCCACGAAACGTGTCGTGAGCGTCCTCGTGCCTCCTCATTCCAGATTTATGCGGAGCTGGACCACCTTGCATCCGAGCACAGCTTCGTGGAGAAGATCCAGATCGGGGAATCCTACGAGAAGCGCCCTCTGTACGCCCTCAAGGTACAACAAAACGTCCCAGGGTGTGCCTGGCATGGGACAGGCACGGCAGAGCCTGGCCCAGAGCACCCCAGCCTGCCTGGGATGGTCTTGGCTGGTGGATGATTTGACTCTTTCCCTCCCATTCCCACAGTTCAGCACCGGCGGATCCAACCGCCCGGCCATCTGGCTCGACGCCGGCATCCACTCCCGGGAGTGGGTCACCCAGGCCAGCGCCCTCTGGATCGCCAACCAGGTCCCCTTGAGCTTTTCTGCTTCGTCCTGGGAGTGCCTCAGAGCATTCCAAGGACGTCACATCCACGTGTTTAATTAACTGCTGATCCTCTGCCCCTCGCGAAACCGACTCCCGGAGGATGTTGTGGCTGCCCGGAGCACACCGTGTCTTGTTGGAAGAGCTGAGTTTAGGCAGACAAAATGCGGTAGTTTAGAGAGACAAAACGCAGCAGTTCAGGGAGACAAAGTGCAGCAGTTCATGGCAAGTTGTTGACAAAAAGGGGGCTGATAATCCCACAAAAAAACCAAGGCCTTGGAGATTGTTTTGCTGCTTCGCTCTCCCGGCGCAGGGAGTCGCTCTGTGGTTGGTTCCCTCCCACAGCAATGCCCAAAACCTCCATCCCTCTGTAAATTTAAATCATTTCAAGCATTTAAACCCTGCTGGAGGTGCCTAAACCACCCCAGGAGTGCAGCCCAGTTGAGTATTCCCAGCCTGGCTGCTCCGCTTCAATCCCAGTGCAGGGCCTTGGTCGGTTCTCCGGGACAAGGGAGTGGGAAATTTTGTTGCTTTCCCCCATTAACCTCCAAATCAAACAGATTAATTGGCCACCAGGAAACTGATACTCTTGTTCCCCTGCCCCAAAATCCAGACTCTGTTCCCAGCTGTGAGGGCCCCTGGCACAGGGATGCTCTGCTGACCGGGGTGTGCTGTCCTGTCTCTGCCCAGATCGCCTCCGGCTACGGATCCGACTCCTCCATCACCTCCCTGCTGGACAAGATGGACCTTTTCCTGCTGCCAGTGGCCAACCCTGATGGTTTTGTGTACACCCACACCTGGGTGAGTGAGGGGGCCGATCCAGGGAGCTGCCCTGCTCTTCCAAGGAAATAATAAACACAGGGAAACAGGTTCTGAAAGTCCCTTTCTCAGTGCTGCAAGAAGGAACTAGAAAGAGCAATTTTAAATTACTCACCTTAAACACCCCACCCCCGTCCGGTTCTGACCGTTATCCCATCGGGAATAACTCTGGGATCACGCCTGGGATCCCCCCCTGGGGAATGGCAGCTCCTTCTGGGAGCAGTTCCGACCCAAACACCCCGATTTGCTCATTTTTGGGAGCTGTTTCCTCTCTTCCAGAACCGCATGTGGAGGAAGACGCGCTCCAAGAACGCAGGCAGTGTCTGCTACGGGGTGGATCCCAACAGGAACTGGGATGCGGGCTTTGGAGGTAGGAATGAGGAGTTTCTGGGCCCTGGATCCCATCACAGAGCACCGGGAATAACACAAGGGACTCCAAACGGTCCCTCGGGATGGAGCCATTTCCCGTTTCGCGTTGATTAATCGCCCAAGAGCACGAGGTGAAGGTGGCACTTGTGGAATCACGGAATTACAGGCTGGTTTGGCTCGGGAGAGACCTGAAACACCATTTAGCTCCAGGCAGGGACACCTCCCAGTGCTCCAAGCCCCATCCCAGCACAGAACACGTCCGGGGTGGGGGTTCCAGGTCGCGTCATCTCAAAGCCCATCCCTTAAACATTCCCACCCTGGCGCTGCTGCTCGAGGGTTTGCCGGCATTTCAGGCCTTGCCTCAGTAAAGCCTGACTTTGTTGGGCCTTCCTCGACCTCCCAGGACTGTCCCTTCTCACTGGTTTGTCCCCTCCAGGTCCCGGGGCCAGCAGCAGCCCCTGCTCCGACTCCTACCACGGCCCCAGCGCCGAGTCCGAGGTGGAGGTGAAATCCGTGGCTGACTTCATCAGGAACCACGGGAACTTCAAGGCCTTCCTCACCCTGCACAGCTATTCCCAGCTCCTGATGTATCCCTACGGATACAAGTGCACCAGGCCCGACGACTACGCCGAGCTGGTGAGACGCGAGAAGCTTTGGCTTCTCCTCCTCTTGCCTTTGGCTTCTCCTCCTCTTGGCTTTGGCTTCTCCTCCCTTGCCTTTGGCTTCTCCTCCCCTTGCCTTTGGCTTCTCCTCCCCTTGCCTTTGGCTTCTCCTCCCCTTGCCTTTGGCTTCTCCTCCCCTTGCCTTTGGCTTCTCCTCCTCTTGCCTTTGGCTTCTCCTCCCCTGTCTGGCTGCCTCCCGGAGCTCTCCACGCTCCAGGCTCTTCCCTAACAACAGCCACGTGGACCTCACCGCCGGAATTCCGATGGGAAAGCCCCTCTGGATGTCTCCATCCCAGCCCTGGGCTGAAAGGGGTTTGGAGTCGGAGCCGGTTTGGGATGGGGTGGCTCAGGGTCAAGCTGAGCTTTGGGTCACTGTTTTGATTTGTTTCCACGTTTCTGAAGGCAAATCCCACGAATTCCCAAAGTTTCGCCCTTCCAAAAGCTCTCCTGGATTTTTTCTTCGTCCCTAATGCCTAAATGCAGTTTTTTCCCCTGTGGCAATTTGTTGCCACTCGTCCTTTCTCCCGCTTCCATGAAGATCCCGGCTCTGTTTTCCATAAAACCCCGTCATGGAGTGGAAATGAGCACAAAGCTGATCCTGGAGTATTGGAATATCCCCAATATTCCTTGGGATTTTCTGGTATCTCTTGAACCTTCCCTTGACAGTGACATGAAACACTGGATGGTCAGTTATGGAACCCGTTGGGAATTATTCCACCTGTGGTGCCCCTTCCCAGAAATCCTGTGGGAGCTGGGAGTGCTGTGGGTGGGTGGAGGTTTCTCTGAGTGTCCCGTGAAGTTTGGCTGCTTCCTGACTCGCCCTCCCTGTTCTGCTCTCCAGGAATCCTTGGGAAGAGCTGCTGCCAATGCCATCAAATCCGTGTACGGCACCACCTTCCAAGTGGGGCCCATCTGCTCCACCATCTGTGAGTGTGGGGCTGCTCAGGGCTCCTTGGGCTGGCCCTGGACAACAATTCCTGTTCCCACAATCCCTATCCCAGCACACCAATCCCTGTTCCCCAACAATCCCTGTCCCCCACAATCCCTGTCCAACAATCCCTGTCCAACAACCCCTGTCCCCACAATCCCTATTCCCACAATCCCTATCCCAGCACAACAATCCCTGTCCCCCACAATCCCTGTCCAACAATCCCTGTCCCCATAATCCCTGTCCCCACAATCCCTGTCCCCCCACAATCCCTGTCCAACAATCCCTGTCCCCCCAGTCCCTGTCCAACAACCCCTGTCCCAGGACAACAATCCCTGTCCTCCCACAATCCCTGTCCCAGGACAACAGTCCTGATTCCAGGACAACAATCCCTGTCCCCACACAATCCCTATCCAACAATCCCTGTCCCAGGACATTAATCCCTGTCCAACAGTCCCTGTCCCCACAATCTCTATCCCAGCACAACATTCCCTGTCCCCACAATCCTTGTCCCCACAATCCCTGTCCTAGGACACCAATCCCTGTCCCAGCACGCCAATCTCTGTCCCCACAATCCCTGTCCCAATATAACAGTCCCTCTCCCTACCAGCAATCCCTATCCCAGCACAACAGTTCCTGTCCCCACAAGCCCTGTTCCCACAAGCCCTGTTCCCACAAGCCCTATCCCAGCACACCAATCCCTGTTCCCAAAATCCCCATTCCCACAATCCCTGTCCCCCACAATCCCTATCCCAGCACACCAATCCCTGTTCCCAAAATCCCCATTCCCACAATCCCTGTCCCCCACAATCCCTGTCCAACAGTCCCTGTCCCCACAATCCCTGTCCACCACAATCCCTGTCCCAGAACACCAATCCCTGTCCCCACAATTCCTATTCCCACAATCCCTATCCCAGCACAACAATCCCTGTCCCTCACAATCCCTATCCCAATACAACAATCCCTCTCCCCCCCAACAATCCCTATCCCAGCACAACAATCCCTGTCCCCGCAATCCCTGTTCCCACAATCCCTGTCCCTGTCCAACAGTCCCTGTCCCCACAATCCCTGTCCCCCACAATCCCTGTCCCCCACAATCCCTGTCCCAGGACATCAATCCCTGTCCAACAATCCCTGTCCCCACAATCCCTCCTGGAATTCCCTGAGCGTTCCCCCCCAACCCTCCTCCCCGTCCCTCCCAACCCCAAACCGCAGCCTCCCCCCGCCCCCCCTACATTCCCATATTCCCGCGCTGATCCCTCTGGCCGCATTCCCATTCCCTGTTCCCAGACCAGGCCAGCGGGGGCAGCATCGACTGGGCCTACGACATCGGCATCAAATATTCCTTCGCCTTCGAGCTGCGGGACACGGGACGCTACGGATTCCTCCTGCCCGCCACCCAGATCATCCCCACCGCCACCGAGACCTGGATGGGCCTCAGGAAGATCATGGAGCACGTCCTGAAAAAGCAGGACTGAGCCCCGGGAGCCGGCAAAGGGCTCTTCCCCGGGCTGGGATGAATAAACCCCTCCCGTGCATCCCGCTCCTGGAGTTGTTGGATTGTTCCCCACATCCCGTGGGATGAGGGCTTGGGAGACGGCTCCTCCTGCCCATACATCCCCTTCCACCCCCCCCTCCACCTTCCACTATCCCAGGCTGCTCCAAGCCCTGTCCAGCCTGGCCTGGGACACTTCCAGGGATGGGGAGAGGATGAGCCTGGGCTTGGAAAAAAGTAAGGAAAAAGAGTCCGTTAAAACCCGTGGATAACGGGGGTTTGGAGGAGCTCAGTGGCATTTGGACTCGCCGGGAAGCAGGAGCGCAGTGAGAAAGTGGGAAAATGAGGAAATGAGGGAAGCAGGAAATTCCCTGGTGACTGAAGGCAGTCATGGAATCACGGAATGGTTTGGATGGAGAGGGACCTTAAAGATCATCCAGTTCCAATCCCAACACCTTCCACTAGCCCAGGTTGCTCCAGCCTGGCCTTGGACACTCCCAGGGATCCAGGGGCAGCCACAGCTTCTCTGGGAAATCCATTCCAGCCCCTCCCCACCCTCAGAGAGAGGAATTCCTTCCCAATATCCCACCTATTCCTGCCCTCTGGCACTGGGAAGCCATTCCCTGTGTCCTGTCCCTCCGTGCCTTGTCCCCAGTCCCTCTCCAGCTCTCCTGGAGCCCCTTTAGGCTCTGGAAGGGGCTGTAGGATTTCCCTGGATCCTTCTCTTCCCCAGGCCGCAGAGGGGCTGCCGTGAGCCCCCGATCCAGGCTGTGAGGTGATTAAAGGAATTTAATTGCCTTTAAGGAGCCCCGGGACGCTCCACCGACCACTGCGCTCGGGGGGATCTCCTTCCTAAATACCCCCGTACATTTATCCCGCCCCTTTTCCCCCTCCCAGCTTTGCCCAGTGGATGGAGACGGGAGACCCCTTCCCTCCCTCCCTCCCTCCCTCCCTGCAGCACTGCCCGTCCCGGTCCCTCGGGATCCCTCCCCTCCCTTTTCCTGTTGTCCCGCTGCTGATTCCTTTGGGATTAGGAGCGCAGCGCTCGGGAGGCTCAGGGATTAGCCGGTGCTGCCGTGCCGAGCGTCAGGTCCGACGGGTTTATCTGGGGTTTATCTCCGTGTCTTGTGACCCCTCGGCGAGCGGGACAGCGAACACCCCTCCCGCGGCACCCGGGACCGGGTCACACTCCCTTCGGGTCACTCCCCCTTCAGCTCACACGCCCTGGGTCGGTCCAGACTCACCTGAGGTGCCACAGAAAACCTCAGTGCAGACTCCTCAGTTTAGTTCAGACTCCTCAGTTTAGTTCAGACTCACCTGATGTGTCACAGAAAACCTCCGTTCAGACTCCTTAGTTTAGTTCAGACTCCTCAGTTTAGTTCAGACTCCTCAGTTTAGTTCAGACTCCTCAGTTTAGTCCAGACTCACCTGAGGTGTCACAGAAAACCTTAGGTCAAACTCAGTTTAGTTCAGACTAATTAGTTTAGTCCAGACTCACCTGATATGTCACAAAAAACTTCAGTTCAGACTCAGTTTAGTCCAGACTCCTTAGTTCAGTCCAGACTCACCTGATGTATCACAGAAAACCTTAGTTCAGACTCCTCAGTTTAGTTCAGACTCACCTGAGGTGTCACGGAAAACCTTAGGTCAAACTCAGTTTAGTTCAGACTAATTAGTTTAGTCCAGTCTCACTTGATGTATCACAGAAAACCTTAAGTTCAGATTAATTAGTTTAGTTCAGACTTGTTAGTTTAGTCCAGACTCACCTGATGTGTCACAGAAAACCTCAGTTCAGACTCAGTTCAGTTCAGACTCCTTAGTTCAGTTCAGACTCACTCGTTGGTTTAGTTCAGAGTCCTCAGTTTAGTTCAGACTCCTTAGTTCAGTTCAGACCCACCTGATGTATCACAGAAAACCTCAGCTCAGACTCCGTTTAGCCCAGACTCATTATTTTAGTTCAGACTCATTAGTTTAGTCCAGCCCACCTTTCCAAAGCCACAACACCCCCAGAACAGAGAGAAATCCTGGTTTTAACGCGGCAAAACCCGACCGGGGGAGACGTCTGCCCTAAAAACCCTCTGCGGGCCGCACCTGCCAGGCTGGGAATGCGGCCCAGGAAACCCGGGAATGCGGCCCAGGACACCCGGGAATGCGGCCCGGGACACCCGGGAATGCGGCCCGGGACACCCGGGAATGCGGCCCAGGACACCCGGGAATGCGGCCCGGGAAGCCGGAGCACCCCGGACAGGGCCGGGCGAGGTGAGAGCTCGGGGGCATCCTGGCAGATAAGGGCCCAACAAAGGCGCTGCTGTGGCCCGGGAACAAAGCGCTGCTGTAACCCAGGAACAAAGACACCTCTGTGCCAAAGTGACCTCCCGGCACAGACGCACCGGCCCCGCGCCGAAACACCCAAATCGCGCGGTTTCCACCCAAAAAGGAGCCCCTGGCTCTCGGGGGAACGTCCCTGCGCCGCTCCGGGGCAGCCGTGATGTTTGGATCCATCTGATCCGTCCTCCTCGTCCCGGGAGGGGGTTGGATGGACAGCGCCGGGAGCGAAGGATGGGAACGGAATAATAAGGGGAATAATAAAGGGATTAAAAAATTGAGTAATGATTTGAATGATAAATCGGATAATGTTTTGAATAATAATAATTTCATTAATAAATTTAATAATAATTTGTACAAAAAATTGGATAATAAATTGATTTTAAAAATCAATAATAATTTGAGTGATAAATTGAATTGTAAATTGAATAATATCTTGAATAATAATTTGCACAATGAATTGAATAATAAATTGAACAATAATTTGAACAATAAATTGATTAATACATTGAATAATGAATTGAATAATATTTCGAATAATAATTTGATTAATAAATTGAATGATAAATTGAATAATAATTTGTACAAAAAATTGAATAATGAATTGATTAAAAAATCAATAATAGTTTGAATGATAAATTTAATTATAAATTGAATAATATTTTGAATAATAATTTGCACAATAAATTGAATAATAATTGAATAAGAAATTTAATCATATTTTGAGCAATAACTTGATTAATAAATTGAATAGTAAATTGAATAATAAATTGAGTAATAATATGAATAATAAATTGAATAATAATTTGAATAACATATTGTGAATTTCATATATATTTTTAGTTACATAAATATACACATACATATTGTATGTGTATATTTATAATCATATATATATATGTATATGATCACCTGCTTGCTTTGCTGCTGGTGAATTCGCAGCAGCTTCTAATTACACATAAATCATAATTATAATTGGCTCGTGAACGGGGACGTGGAATAAAGGAACCCACGGGAGCGAAAGTGCGGGATACAGAAATCCAGGGAGGCTCAGAGTGTCCCCCTTGGGTATTTTGGGGCCCTGTGCCCCTCCCGTGCCCTCTCCCCGTGGGCAGCTCCGGGCTGGGCTCCGTTATCAGATCCTGCCCAACTCCCGAGCGTTGGCTTTGCCAAGGAAAGCAAACCTTTGGGAGCTGTTCCCGGCCCAGCCGCTCCCGCTGTCGCCGCCTCCGCGGGACGTGGCCTTGGGCAGCAGCTCCTGGAGGGGGTTTCTCCTGGATTAGGGGGGTCTCTCCATCCCGGTGTCCTCACCCCTCACCATGAGGATCCTCCTGGTGCTCGTTGTCCTCGCGGGAGCCGCTGGAGCCCAGCGGCAATTCCAGGGGTGAGTCCTTCCCGAGGGATGGGGCGGGATGGGGTCCTGCTGTGCCCCGGGGTGACATCCCAAAGGAGGGGAATCCAGAACCTTCCCAAACCACGAGGAGTGGTTTCGCCCCAGGGTTGGAGGGAGGTTTGGAGCGTGGAACAGGTGGAAATTAGGGAATGTCGGATCCTGGGAGCGTCGCCCCAGGCTTTGCCAGGGGGGAGAATCCCAGGAGGTAAAGGGATAATATCCCAAAAAACGGGGGCTGGATGGCTGTGGAGGAAACTGAGGATTGTTGGGAATAACAGCCAGGGTGGTTGGGAATAACAGACAAGGGTTGTTGGGAATAATAGACAAGGGCTGTTGGTTATAACAGACAAGGGTTCTTGGAATAACAAAGATTGTTGGGAATAACAGACAAGGATTTTTGGGAATAACAGCCAAAGATTGTTGGGATAACAGACAAGGATTTTTGGGAATAACAGCCAAAGATTGTTGGAATAACAGACAAGGATTTTTGGGAATAACAGCCAAAGATTGTTGGGAATAACAGACAAGGGTTGTTGGGAATAACAGACAAGGGTTGTTGGGAATAACAGACAAGGGTTGTTGGGAATAACAGACAAGGGTTGTTGGGAATAACAGACAAGGGTTGTTGGGAATAACAGACAAAGATTATTGGGAATAACACCCAAGGTTTGTTGGGAATAAGAGATTGGGATTGTTGGGAATAACAGGCAAGGATTGTTGGTAATAACCAAGGATTTCTGGGAATAACAGCCAAGGATGGTTGGGAGTAACAGGTCGTGGGAAAGAACAAGCTGTGGCTGGAAAAGGGGCCATGGGGAGGTCGGGCAGGACTTTTCCAGGAAAACATCCTTGTTGGAGTTCCTGGAAATAAGTAAGAGCCCAGCACAGGTGCAGGAATGGGGTCAGGAAGTGCATATGGAATGTAGGGGGATCAGGACCACCCAAGACCCCCAAAGCCTCCAACTCATTCCTGTTTTCCTAAAATTTCCTCCCTCCTTCCTTCCCTCCCTCCCTTCCTTCCTTTCCCTCCTTCTTTCCTTCCTTTCCTTCCTCTTTTCCATCCTTTCCTCCCTTTTATTCCTTCTTTCCTTCTTCTTTTCTTCCTTCTTTCCTCCCTTCTTTTCCTTCTCCCTTCCCTTTCTCCCCCACCCCCTTTATCCAACCCACAATTCCCAGGTTGAGCGTGTCATTTCCTAATTAAAAACTCTGGAATTTTTCATGGACCCTCTGACTTCTGTCACCCCTTTCCATACGGAGCTTTTACAAATCCTGGGTCCTCCCTCCCACTCAGAGGGGG